AAAAAAACATTATTTTGTCAATTATTTAATTTAATCCTAACTGAGGTATAAAAAATGGTATTTAGGTATAAATAATAATTATTATTGAGGTATAAAGAAACTATTTATGTTAATTATTTATATATTAAGCTGGTTCAAAAAAATCGACTATTTTTTTTTCTAAAATTTCGCACTCAAATATCTTATCTGTACAAAAAAAATACACCTGTGAAAACCGGGACTCTTAATTTTAATCGATAATTTCTATTTCCCATTTAAATGAGTTTCCAGAAATAGTAGGTGCTTCAGTGGAATTAATATAATTAATATATAATGTTTTTATATTTCATAATAAATTTGCCTAAAATTGAAGTAAAAAATGCAATTATGACATAAATTTAACTTTTACTTTGAATAACTTTTAAACTCCTTGGTTTATCGAAAAATGATAGCAGACATTTTTTGTAGAGCGTTCAATTTCAATTAAAAAAATATATATCGCACATAAAAATCTGTTAATTAGTTTGTGAGCTAGAAAATTATAAAAAAACAAAAAAAAATTCTCATGTTATTTAAATGGGAAATAGAAACAGTGAAGATATTTGAGTGCGAAATTTCAGAAGAAAAAAAATAATTGATTTTTTTTTATTTACAGGGTGTCATTTAACTTGAAACTTTGAAATATCTCAGTTGGTATGAATTTTACGAAAAAATGTTTAAAATAAAAATTAAATGACTCGATGGGGAAAATCAATCAGTACTAAAATTGGTCCTCATACTTTCCTCCTTATAGGGGGGGCAGGGGGTAACTTTAAAATTTCCAATGGAACACCCTATTTTTTATTGCAGATTCGGATCATTCGACTAAAAATAGGTAGATTTTGTCTAAAACATTTTTTCATATTTGTAATAAAAAAAAATAAATTTTGTTCGATTTTTCTTCTGCACCTATACGATTCTCCAATAATTTTTGAATTTTTTAAATTTATTTATTTACTTTTTAAATTTTAATCAAAGTAGGTGCTCAAAATAACAATATTAAATATTTGCTCGACGAACTCTTTTTTCGGTTGAACACTCCCGTTTGTAGTAAACTGCTTGACTGTACGGTGAAATGAAGTACGTGATCGAATTTTATCCGGAAAACGCTGAGCGTAGATATTAACAGCATCATCAAGATTCCTGCCTGCTTCTCCATAAATCAAAATCATTTCTATTTTTTCTTCCACTGCTAAAAAATTGATTACGAATAACTGCTTAAGGAAAGGAGGTCTTTTTGTTTGCAAATTAATCTTCGAACTAAATTGATTAAATAATGCTAAACTATAAATAGTTTCTTTATACTTCAATAATAATTATTATTTAAAACTAATACCATTTTTTTAAATTCATATTTAAAATTTAATATTTATTCGTTATAAATTCTATAAATTACAAAACATTGACAAAAACGATGAAAAATATTTTTTTAATGTAATAAATATTTTCAAACCACCTAAAAATATTATTAAGATTTAAAATCTCCAAATAATCTTTCTTGTGACTTAAAAATATAACAAAGCTATTCAATCCTAAAAAAAAAGAAAAAACAACATCTTGGAAATAAAATGTTAAAGTCAGTGCAGTTTTTAACGAAACTCGCCATAAAGCGTTGATTCTGCCAATCATGGTGGTCCGGGTTGCGCAAACCCTCTGCTTCCGGAGAAGCTATAAAAGACACCGGACGAAATGCTTTCCGGCAATCTTTCCGTCTTCGGCAAATACGCGTGTTAAACTTAAATCCCAAAATATTTATTGTGCCAAGAGATAAGCTTAAAGAAAAATCAAACAGACAAGCAAGTAAGTGTATTTTATATTATAAAATTAATAAAAAAAAATTATTAAAAATCTGGGAAATTAATACTTTTGATATAAAAAATATATATTAAAAATACAAAGTAGGTACTGCGTAAAATTAATATTAATTTTTAATAATATTATTAAAAAATAAAAATTAGTTAAATTAAAGATATTACTTACAGATCCTTAACATAAAATGTCGCCTCTGAATAATAATACTCATATATGTATATATACAGGGTGGAACAAAACTATCAAAATAAATCATTCAATCAAAAACTAACAAATGTCAAATTTTCATGGCATTCTTTACCAGTGTTAAAAATTTCTATTGTAATTTTACTAAACATGTTTAGGAAGTTTTTACGCACCACAATATAGCAATAATAAAACTCAGTTTTGTTGAAATTCACTAAGCATTTATTAAAAATTTGTTCAGTAAAATTACTATACAGGTATTGTAATTTTGCTAAAAAAAAAAATTTAAAATGGTGTATTGTAATTATACTAAACAATTCATTTCAACTCAAAATTACAAAATATATTTTACAATTTTACTGAACTGAAGAAAATTCGTTTCGCAATATTACAATACAAATATTGTTATTTTGTATAACAAATTACACTAAAAATAATTAGTAATAGTATTGTAACAATACTATTGTTATTATACTACGCAATTTTCTTAGTTTCTTCGAGAAACTTTTTGGACCCATTACTGTAAATATAAAAAAAATTGAACCTTTACCTCGCCAGAGTTTTTGCTTTACGTGCGTTCCACCAACTTAAAATATAGACAGACAGCTAGACAGATAGACCTATTTTGGGTCTTATCAATGTCTGGCAATTTGGTGTATTGGAACACACCAAAAACGAAAGACACCTGAGCTTATATACTGTCCACCTAAGTCAACCGCGGCGAGATGTAACAACGTAATCGGTACATACTATGCATTTAACATAACATTATAGAAAATCAAATTACAAACAACGTTTGTATATCTGAGATGCTTTTTATCAGAAACTGTCAAACTGTTTAGTAAAATTACAATGCGTGTAGGATTAATACATAATAGATTGTAAAATAACTTATCTTAGTAGATTTTGTATTGGTATATTTACTGATTTGTTAGTTTACTCACCCTTTGTTTTGCAAAACAATTATAATTTTACAAAAAATTTTAACAGTATACATGATTAAAATGATATATAGTAAAAATGCAAACAGAAGTTGTATAAATAAATAAATAATGATTTGTATATTTCCAAACACTTATTGTAATTCAAATAGCAAATTTTGGTTAGTAATTTTATTGATTATCTTAGTAAAATTAAATTCCGAATATGTATAGAAATTTTACAAAATTTCAAATCCAAATTCTACAATACAGAATTGTAAAAATACTACAAGTATCTGAGAATAAAAACATTGTAAAATTGGAACCTGTTTAGTACTTTTGCTATAACAAAATATAATTTTACTATAGTAAAATTATATTTTGTTATAGCAAAAGTACTAAACAGGTTCCAATTTTACAATGTTTTTTTTCTCAGATACTTGTAGTATTTTTACAATTCTGTATTGTAGAATTTGGATTTGAAATTTTGTAAAATTTCTATAGAGGTAGCGATATTATCGATAGTCTATCGATAGTTTCGATATTTTCGATATTTTAAAAACTATCGAATTATCGATTCTATCGATAGTGACCGACTATCGTCTAGCGATAGTTTTATCAAAAAAAAAATATTATAACTATGGTTGGTTTTTTATTCGGAATTTAACGACGTTAAAATTTTGGGGTTTTAGTTGGCAAATTCTAGGGACCCTACATTTACCAACGGTGGTAATCCTGAGAAAAAACAAAAAACTCAAGTAAATTGTCAAAATATGTACGGTCAATTATTTTATTGTTGATGTCATGGAGCCTACACAAGGAGTCCGAACTGCATCTAAAGAAGAATCTTCCTAAGGAAAGTAGGCGCTGGTGTGCAATTTAAATTTAAATTAGAGGGCAGGTTTTGTCAATTTCCCCTATTAAGTTTGGGCTCCTTGTGTAGGCTCCATATTTCTATTGAAATACTATACTATATTTTTGACTCTCCTATATTTGGTAGGTTGAAAATGTGCCACTATAAAAATAAATCTTTTATTTTTTAATAAAATGTTGAAACTATACGGTTTTGAAATTTTAGTTAACTATCGATAGTTAATCGATAGTATCGATAGTCGCTTTTCTCACTATCGATACTATCGATAGTCTACTTTTGATCACTATCGCTACCTCTAAATTTTACTACGCAACTGCTTAGTAAAAATGTAGTAATTTTACAAACATTTTTAACAGTGTAATGTTTCAATTTTATAACTGCATGACTTTCTCCATAGCTTCCCTTATTAGAGATGACGAGTGTGTCGTAATAAATATTTTTCTCGCATATTTTTTTTTTTTTTAATTTCAAAATTGTATGATTGAATAGAGAGAAATGTGCTTTTTTCATAATAGATTAAAAAAAATTATGTGACATTAAAAAAAAAAATTTTACTCTAGAAACAAAATAAGAAAGATATTTTTTCTGATGAAGTTGTACTGTACTGTACAACTTGTACATAATACTTTCATATTTTAAATGCGCTTTGAAAAAAATAAGAAATAAAGAAATTAAAAAGTTATTTGCCTATTTTTTCTTTATTAGGCACGTTTGAAGTTGATTTAATAGTATTTTATGTATCAAGTTTAATAAACGCCATTTTATACACGAATTTAATTTAATAAATTAATGAGTGTATAGAAAAGTTTATAAACGAGGTGCATACTATACTTTTTCTACGACAAATATTTATTATTATCTTAAAATGATTTAAATCAAAAATTTGTATAGAGCGCTATCTATGAAACAATGGGGGAATCTGTGTTTCACCGTCAAATGTCAATTTTTTTATTTTATAAACACACATTATCAAGGTTATAAATCGAAATGTATTTCTTGAAAATTGACAGTAAAAATAAGGAAAATTAGAAGTTACTATAACGTTATGAAACTTATAAAATAACCTACTTTTTAACTTATAAGTAATATTACTATCTAGTTAAATATTTGGTTTATTTATAGTCAATTTAAACTTGAAATAAACTTGTACCCATAGGTAAACCAAAAAGTTCAAAAAGTAGAAACAAAAAATGAGTGGTTCTGGAAAACCCCTTCTGGGCCTGTGGTTATACAGAAGTGGAGAAGAATGGAACTACAAGGAAGAGAGTCCAATCCAACTAAAACCAGCGGTAAAGCAAAAAGTATGTGTTCTAAAAGTTATAAAACCCCGTAAAACCAACATCCTTAGGCCCCGAAAGAAGACATCCAAAAGCCTCCAGAAACTGAGCGCATCTCGGTGATATTCTCGCTGAGAAACCACGTAGGCGGCCTGGTGAGGGCCCTGCAGTCGTTTCAAGATTTGGGAATCAACGTGCTGCACATAGAGTCAAGGCCGTCTCAATCGGGAGACAGCCAGGCGGACTTCCTGGTGGACATCGATACCGACCAGAAGAAGTTGGAGCAACTGGGCAGATTGCTGAAGAGGGAGGTGGTCACCATGGTGATCGGGAAATACGGAAACGGGCTGGAAGACGAGTTCCCCCCGCCCACGCCACTGAGCGCCACTGCCAGTTTCGGTAAGTGGGGTTTTATTTCGTTTATTTCAGTGTTGCCACCCCTACTACTTTAGTAATAGATCTGTCACTTTTAGCGAAAATATATTCGCCGTGACTAGAAGTACACCGGGATACCAGCTGATGGTAAAATTTCGGATTTATTAGTTGAGATTAAATTGGTACACTAAGGCCGTTGTATAACAGTTGGTAAACAGCTGGTTAACTCTTGATATTAATTATGTAATTATTAAGCCAACTTTCAAGTTGTATAAACATTGATTAAAATTTAATTAAGTGATTGAAATACAATTAACAACAAAATTAATGAAATATCAGTATGAATTACCCAAACCAACCCAAACTCAACAACCCAACCCAACCGACCCCGCCCCATTGGGCCCCCCTGCCCCATTGAGCGCGAAATTGAGCGACCATTTAATATTATACAATTGACAAATATGCTAAATAAGTTTAATTCTTAAATCCATTAGAGCAGTAGTAGGTAAGTTATGTTGTTTATAAAATAAAAGGCACCTCTGCTGGTTTGATTAATTTTAATAACCGACTAGTTTCGCCTTTAAGGCATCATCAGGGTTTCTACAAGAAATTACATTTAAAATATATATAGTTATAAATAAGTAAAAATAAGAGTAGAAAGACTTACACGTCAATGTTAAAAATCCCAATATATACATTTTAAAATTATTATTATAAATAAACCCTTATTACAACACATTAAAATTTGAGAATTAAAATTATTGTTAAATATTTTATAAACAACATGCTAAATAAGGATTTTTTTCCACCCGGTGTACGTTTAATGGCGGTACTCCCGGTGTACTTCTAGTCACTTTGAAATATATTACCCTATTACGAAACGATGTAAATCTATTAATTTTTTCTTTCCTATAGTAGGACATTTTTTTAAAAATATTCTATTGTTGCCACTGGCAACTTGCCAGACAACCCACAAAAGATTATTGTCGCAGCGCATCAAAACTATTGTAGAATTAAATTTTTCTTGGTTTTTCTAATATACACGGTGTGCCTGAACGAAGTAATCACATAAAAATATCGCAGTTTTTTGTTCGGGACCCTTTGGTGACTTAAAAATGATATTTACCAAAATCCTATAGGATATATATATAGCTATAGCTGCTCCTCTTTTCGAAATTTTTTAAAAATTCATGATTTTTTTTTAATTTTTGTTTATTTCAAAGTCTACCTTTGACAGAGTACACATTTGTACAGCGATTTTTATAAAATTAGAGTATATTATTGAGGAGACTTAAAGAATACTTTTTAATACTGTTCAAATCATTTGATATATTCAGGGGGAGCCAAAAATGGCTTATTTTTAATAAAGCAAAAGCGTAAATTCATGATTTTGGCATAACACGCAAAAAAGATTTATCCCCATTTTTTTTAGATATTTCTACGTTTATCAGGTTACAAAATGGCATTCTTATTAACCTTTTATAAAAAAATAGATTTTTAATAAAATTAAATAAAATAACGGTTAGAGAATATTTAAAATGTTGTTTAATTTAGGCTTTTTAGTAGTTTTCAATTTTGAACGAAAAACTGGTTAAAGTTTTTTGATCGGCACTCTTTGCAGATTTAAAAACGATATTTATCAAAATTCTAACTGCTTTTTTTAAATTTGTTAAAAAATATTTTTTTTTTAATTATTTGTTTATCGCAAAGTCTACCTTTGCCAGAGTACACATTTGTACACCGATTTTTATTGATTGCAGTTTCTTGTTCGGGACCCTTTGGTAACTTTAAAATAATATTTACCAAAATCCTAGCTGCTCCTCTTTTCGAAATTTTTTGAAAATTCTTAATTTTTTTAAAATTTTTGTTTATCTTACCTTTGACAGAGTACCTACACATTTGTACACCGATTTTTATAATATTGGAGTATATTGTTAACGAGACTTGGAGAATACTGTATTCATACTGAGCACATCATTAGATTTATACAGGGTTAGACAAAAATCACTTTTTTATATAGTAAAAAGCATAATGCACAAAAAAGATTTATCTCCAAAAAATGTAATTTTATTTAATTTTATTAAAAAATAATTTTTCTTATAAAGTCTTGATAAGAATCCCACTTTGTAGCCTGATAAACATAAAAATATCTAAAAAACATGGGTGGGTATATATCTTTTTTGCGTGTTATGCCAAAATCATGAAGTTACGCTTTTGCTTTATTAAAAGAAGCGATTTTTGGCTAACCCTGTATATATTAAATGATGTGCACAGAATAAAAAAGTATTCTCCAAATCTCCTTAACAATATACACTAATATTATAAAAATCGGTGTACAAATGTGTACTCTGTCAAAGACTTTAAGATAAACAAAAATTTAAAAAAAAATCATGAATTTTCAAAAAAATTGGAAAAGAGGAGCAGCTAGGATTTTGGTAAATATTATTTTAAGTCACGAAAGGGTCCCGAACAAGAAACTGCATGCAATCAGTTTTTGGCGGCATTTTTATGTGACTTAAACATCGTTCAGGCACACCGTGTAAAAGTGTTTTAAATCTTGTTATATATTTTAAATTTATTATTTAAAAATAATAACAAATAAAGAGTTAAATAAAAATTGTTTATCCAAAATTTAAGATTATAGGTGGCAACACTGGTTTATTTCCTATTCATTATTCCGACTGATTTTATTTGGAAATCCGGATGCCAATTTATGGGTTTATATTAAAATATTTGGTGTTTATGATTAATAAAATAATATAATGGTGGATATTCAATCAACATTTTATGATGGCAAATGGCAATTTGCAGTATAAAGTTTTATTGTTATTAAGATCGTTAATCTATTTTTTGATTAATTGCTATTTGTTTTAAATAGTTTTGTTTTTAACAAAATGTTTCCGGGCCTTTCCATCTAAAATCTTAAATTTAAAAAAGGGGTGGGTTGTTACTTTTTAACGAATTTTTTTTTAGGAGCTTTCAAAAATTTAAAAAAGTAAAACTTTTTTTATTTATTTAATAAGTTTTATTTATGTTATTTTTAGTTATTTTAATAACCCTTAAGTTTCAACTCTTTAAAGTATTATGAGGGTCGTAATTTTTACGAAAGAAAATTACTTATAAGTGTATTTCACTTAAAGGAAAATTTAACGGTAATTTTAACGTAAGAATTTTTACTTAATGGTAAATGTTACTCATAAGTCATAATTTTACGATATTAAGACCACTTTATAACCGTAAATAATTCCTATTCGCCTGGTATTTTTTAGGGTTATTAGTGGTAATAAATACTATTAATATTGACTAAATAAGTGAAAAATAAAACTTTAAAGGAAAATTTTTTCTAAACATTTACGTAGGTATATAATATTTTTTCATAAATATTTTTCGAAAATATAATAAGGAAAGTTTTAGTTATTAAAAAATGATTAAAACTAAATGATTTTTAAAAGATTTTATAAAACTTTGCAGGTTTTAAGTTTTGTTGAATTTTTACCTAAGCAATAATTTGTCTTAAAACCGTAAAATATTTAGAGGGCATATAATTTTTGAGATGTATCGTGCCTATTTTATTAATAAAATAATGTGCAATTGAGTTTTATTGCAAAATAATATTAGTTTTGACAATTTAAGTTACATATACCTATTTTTTAATTTTACTCTAGGGTTGCCTTAATTACTTTAAAATATAAGTTAAAAGAACAAAGAAATTACGAATGTCAATGTTTTAGAAAGAGAATGATTTTTAAAAGAGAATGATTTTTAAAAGATTTTATAAAACTTTGTAGGTTTTAAGTTTTGTTGAATTTTTACCTAAGCAATAATTTTTCTTAAAACCGTAAAATATTTAGAGGGCATATAATTTTTAAGATATATCGTGCCTATTTTTATTAATAAAATAATGTGCAATTGAGTTTTAATGCAAAATATAATAATAGTTTTGACAATTTAAGTTATACCTATTTTTTAATTTTACTCTAGGGTTGCCTTAATTACTTTAAAATATAAGTTAAAAGAACAAATAAATTACGAACGTCAATGTTTTAGAAAGAGAGATCAAACAGTTGGTAATTATAGCGTTATTTTTACGTAAATTTGTGGTATTTGTATTGTTTTTATTACGTTATTCTCTTAGGGGATCAAAAAGGTTATTATTTAGGTAAAATAACGAAATAAACCATTCCACAAATTCGGTAATTTTTCGTATCTATACCGTTATAAAACCGTTTTGGTTAACCGTAAAAAATACTTTAAAGTTGACTTAGTAGTAAATTTCTGGTTATTTAAACTTAAAATGCTGATTGGGATGACATTTTGATTAAAAAAAGAATAATTCCGAAACGACGAATTTAGCAAACTTCAAACGAAAAAAATATGAATTAAAAAAAATGTGGCAATTAGGGTTGGGACAGTTGAAAATTTCAACTTTGAAAGTTTCAAACTTGAAATATTTCATTTAGTTTGAAAAGTGAAATTTTTAAAAATTTCAAATGAAATTTTCAATCCGAAAATTTCAACATTGCCCGTGAAAGTTTCAGAAATTTCATTGAAAGTTTCGCAATTTACTGAAAATTTCGCATAAATTTCACATGCGGCCTCCCCTGGGACCTTTAATAATAATTTACAACAGATTCCGAATCGACCAATAAGAACGAGTTATCAAGCGTGTGGGCGTTTTTGTTTAGTTCGGCTTGGATTTGAATACACTATAAGTAATTATTGTTACTTATAAGCGTAAATTAATTTTAATAATTTAATTCAGTTACCAATTAATTTGTAAATTAAATCAGACATTTTTTTTTAAAAGTCTTGATTAATTTAAACTTTTACTTTTGTTATAATTGCATCGGAAAACGGATAACGGCTCATAAAATTTTGTTGTTTCTTCAATTTTCCTAAAATTTCAGTAAAATATATAAAAATAATAAATATAATAAATAAATATAAAACAATAAAAGTGGCACAATCTCATTAGCATACCAAAAAGTGCTCATCTCAATAAATTTCATAAATTTCATGAAATTTTATAATTTTAGGAAATTTTAATAAATTTCATAAATGTCATGAAAATTTCAAGTGAAATTTCAAGTACAAGCAAAAAGTGAAATTTTCCCAACCCCAGTGGCAATGTCAAAATTTTGACCTCAATTATTTTTGCCTTTTCTAGAAAAAAACATTAAAAAAATTTAGTGAATTCACTTAATTTATATATTTTTTGTATGTAGTAAACATTTACAACAACTTAAAAAAAATTTAAACGATCGAAAAATCGATGTTTCTGTCTATTTTTTTTTAAATTTTCTACAAAACAAATTTACGCTAAAAGAAAAAATACGGGTCTCATCGATTTCTGTAAAGAAACTGTAAAAAAAATTTGTTGAAAAATATGAATTTTTTCTAAAACAGATTTTGATGAAATGCCATGGTTCCCTAAGAAAATCTCTGAACTGGACTTGGCCCAAAACGTCCTAATGTACGGAGAAGAGTTAGATGCTGACCATCCAGGCTTTAAGGATCCAATTTATCGAAAAAGGCGCGAACAATTCTTCAGAATCGCCATGAATTACAAACAGTAAGAAAGAATACAAATAAAAGACATTTTCTATTACTCATTTTTAGCGGACAACCGATTCCAAAAGTAAAATACACTCAGGAAGAAATCAAAACTTGGTAAGTGGGTAAACTGAACAGATTTTAATTACTTGTTCAAATAGTGTTCGTACACACAACTTTCAATCAAGTGTGAAGCCACCTTTAAAAGCTCTTCGGCTTATTCAACCTTAGAACTGATTTAACCCAATTAAATTAGAATGATATTGATTGAAATGTAACGTAGATATATCTATATATATACCTTTAGGTATATTAAGAAAAGCTATTTTAAGAGAGCCTTCCGCATCTGGATAAAAAATATTTATAACGTTTTTACTGTTCCTAGTGTGAATTAAAACACTCACTGGTTTATTAACGAACTAAAGGATTTATTTTATAACTTAATTACACTTAAAGTATAGGACGAACAAAAATGCCAACCAAAACTGATAGTATAATCTGATTATAGACTCTTTTGGTAACACAAAAATGTATTTATCAAAATCCCAGCTGATCCTTTATTAAAGTTTTGCATATTTCTTAGTATTTTAAAATTCTTTATGCCATTTCGATAAAATACTCTAGTACCATTATCAAATGTTTTTAAAAATTTGGCAGATACATGACTGAAATATGGATAAATTACATTATAAATACAAAATAATGTAAAATACGGTTTGCAATATCTTATTTATTGTTTTAAGGTACCTAATACAAGACTAATAAATAACTAAAGATTCTTTGAAGCAAAATCGATTCCTGCTTGCCTTAAATTTTCAGTAAAACTTTTTCTTGGGTTTTACATGGAATTGTTTTTAACATGGAAACAGTATTTTTAAATTCTTCAGTCTCTGTACAAACATGCTTCTTACATCTAGCGATATCCCCTAGAAAGAAAGAGCATATCAAAACTTTAGTTCGTTCGTCCGTCCTCTTCCCTTAATAATTTTTTATGCCCTTTATATCTTGCCATTTTGCAGATAAAGCACATAAATTCTTGGCTGCCGCGAAATTCTCTAGCAAATTCTAAATTTTGAGAATTTGGCAATTGTGGCTATGCAAAAATACCGTTTTTACCATATAGGTAATTTTGAATCACTTAATTTAAAGTGTTTGTTTGAAAAAGTCTGCAGTAATTTTTATATTTTCTCTAAATTTTTCGATTACCAAAAACAATTTTGTCTCCAGCCAGCACATACCTTCTTTCGATTTTCTTCATGGCTTAACTTGAATTTTGGTTGAATTTTCATTTTAAAATACTATTTTTAACTTTATAAAGTATACATTAAATAAACAACTAAAGCAAAATGTCACTTGCGTTATAACGTATAGCAATTTTTTTCATAACCACCTTAATTATTGTTTTACAAAATTTGCAAGTTGTAATTATTTCATAGACAAACTTCCAGTATTTTTTATTATAAAAAATATTTAAGATATAAATCTTCGTTTTTTTTGTTATGTTTTGTTTTGAGTGGTAAAAAATAATAGGTGACTCAATAAATTAATACTGGGGAGTAAAGTAATTTAAATGATACAAAGTTTATTATCTAGCTTATTTTTATTAAAATTGTACAGGTAGTTTTAGTACAATAATTGCAAAATAATATATAGAAATAGAAAAACAAAAAAGTTTGCAAAACTTTAAAATAGGATCAGCTGGGATTTTGATAAATACATGTTAGTGTTACCAAAAGGGTCTATAATCAAAATATGCTATCAGTTTTGGTTGGCATTTTTGTTCGTCCTATACTTAACTACTAATTATTTATATATCACTACTGTACAAGAGTCTATTTATTTGCACGTTTATTTAATTTATTTCGTCGCGATTACCAAAGCTTGACTGACTCTACGCTGTTCCTTTTATATTCAATGCGTACGTGACTCAAGTTACGCAAGCGCCTTCCCGAATCTCGATCGCTCGAGCGCCGACTCATCATCGAGATCCAGAGCGGTACTCGCTACACACGGTGGTCAAAACTTAAATATAGGACGAACAAAAATGGCAACCAAAACTGATAGCATATTTTGATTATAGACCCTTTTGGTAACACTAACATGTAATTATCAAAATCCCAGCTGATCCTATTTTAAAGTTTTGCAAACTTTTTTGTTTTTCTATTTCTATATATTATTTTGCAATTATTGTACTAAAACTACCTGTACAATTTTAATAAAAATTAAGCAAAATAATAAACTTTGTATCATTTAAATTACTTTACTCCCCAGTATTAATTTATTGAGTCACCTACCACTCAAAACAAAACATAACAAAAAAACGAAGATTTATATCTTAAATATTTTTACAACTTGCAAATTTTGTAAAACAATAATTAAGGTGGTTATGAAAAAAATTGCTATACGTTATTACGCAAGTGACATTTTGCTTTAGTTGTATATTTAATGTATACTTTATAAAGTTAAAAAAAGTATTTAAAATGAAAATTAAACCGAAATTCAAGTTAAGCCATGAAGAAAATCGAAAGAAGGTATGTGCTGGCTGTGGAGACAAAATTGTTTTTGGTAATCGTAAATATTCAGATTTAAGGGTTTCTGAGAAAATATAAAAATTACTGCAGACTTTTTCAAACGAACACTAAAGTGTTCGTTAAAACTTAAGTGATTCAAAATTACCTACTTCAATATGGTAAAAACGGTATTTTTGCATAGCCACAATTGCCAAATTTTCAAGATTTAGAAATTGCTAGAGAATTTCGCGGCAGCCAAGAATTTATGTGCTTTATCTGCAAAATGGCAAGATATAAAGGGCATAAAAAAATATTAAGGGAAGAGGACGGACGAACGAACTAAAGTTTTGATATGCTCTTCCTTTCTAGGGGATATCGCCAGATGTAAGAAGCATGTTTGTACAGAGACTGAAGAATTTAAAAATACTGTTTCCATGTTATAAACAATTCCATGTAAAATCCAAGAAAAAGTTTTACTGAAAATTTAAGGCAAGCAGTAATCGATTTTGCTTCAAAGACTCTTTAGTTATTTATTAGTTTTGTATTAGGTACCTTAAAACAATAAATAAGATATTGCAAACTGTATTTTACATTATTTTGTATTTATAATGTAATTTATCCATATTTCAGTTATGTATCTGCCAAATTTTTAAAAACATTTGATAATGGTATTTTATCGAAATGGCATAAAGAATTTTAAAATACTAAGAAATATGCAAAACTTTAATAAAGGATCAGCTGGGATTTTGATAAATACATTTTTGTTTTACCAAAAGAGTCTATAATCAGATTATGCTATCAGTTTTGGTTGGCATTTTTGTTCGTCCTATACTTTAGTTTTGACCACAGTGTACAAAATTCTTATTTCAAGGGGGACTGTTTTTCGCGAGCTGCACAAGATGTACCTGGAACATGCCTGTAAAGAGTACATGGAGAACTGGCCTCAGCTCGTAAAGTACTGCGGGTACAGGGAGGATAACATACCCCAGTTGCAGGACGTCAGCATGTTCCTGAAGAGGAAGACCGGGTTCCTGCTGCGACCAGTTGCAGGTTACTTGAGTCCCAGGGATTTTCTTTCGGGACTGGCGTTCAGGGTTTTCCACTGCACCCAGTACATACGTCACTCTTCGGAGCCTTTCTATACTCCCGAGCCGTAAGTAGGTTTTTTAAAAGATCATCCTCAATTTTTTTTATCAACATGTGAAGAAGGGTTAACACTTTAAACCAGTTTCTTTATTTGTCTAGCATAAACATAATAAACCAATTGACACCTCTATCAGGCATCGAACAAAACTAATAGCCTTCTGCGAGCCTTATAAGAGTTAAAAAAAAAACAAATATTAAGAGCAATTATATTTAATAAAATAATATAAAAGCAACTTCTTAATTATTAGAAAAGAATAATAGAAAACGTAAAAATAATTTGTACCACTAAAGGTGGAGAACACAACGCCTCACAGTGGGCTGGGCCTGGCCAAAAGTACGTACAAAAAGTCAACTTAATCTGATCAAAAAAATAATACACCAATGTAAAGAAAAACCCTCAATTTGTTATATTCCGAAAGAAAAAGTTAAAAAAATTTTTATATAAAGTTATATTAAGTAATATAAAACCTTGTAAAATCATACATTTTTACACTTAACTAGAGATAAGTTATGCGGTCCAAGTTGGTCCAGAAAAATGTTTACACCAAATTATAGCCCAAAGAATAACGAATAAGGCTATATATATATATATATACATATATATATATATATATATATATGCATCCAGCTTATGACAGAGCGTCCGTACATTTCATAATATCTATTCTCTGGGCGTCCACTGGGACCAAGCGTCCGTATACCGGACGCCCGGTTGTACAATGTACACCCTATAAGATTTTGCCAGGGGTTCTAATTCACCTTTATACGACCTTTGGCAGAAGACGCCCAGAACTCGAAAAATAAATTTTTGATATACTTTCGTATATTTTTAGTTCACGACTTTTCCACGAGGGGAGTGACTGTCGCCAATGTAAAATATACGTTGTGTATATTTTATTTTTTTAAATTACATCTTAGAGATTGGTAAGCGTCCTTAGTATAAAATCTCTTACATTCCTCCGATTTCAGAGCGTCCTTTAGCCAAGGAAATTTTGCAACATGGCAATTATAATACGATTCTGTTGTATTTTAAGTAAAATTTTCAAATTCGTGTTTTTAATGAATATTTAATTCAATAAAATTTTACGCCAAAGATTTGTGGGCGTCCTTTCTGTATATTTATTTCAACTTTTCCGCTTTCGAGCGTCCAGTGTCGGACTTTGGTTTATTAAAAATAAATACATATCTATTATTATAATAATAGTAGTAGTATACTATAGTAGTATACTACTTAATATTTATAAATATTTTACGGATTTATTTGTATACAAGTCAAGTTTGACTTTTAACTATTATATAAGGACCCTATAGCCTAGGTATACAAGTGACATTTAAAAAATGGAGTTAAGTACAGGAATACATAGTAAAAGGTACATTTTACTTGGTAGTCAAGGAATATAACTAAATTCTAATTTTGTAAAGCTTAAAAATAGTATATTATGTATTAAGTTTTATAAACGTCATTTTAGTTTCAAGGTTTATTAGGCACGAGCAAAGCTTGCGAGCGAGTGTTTAATAAAAACGAGTGTCTAGAGAAGTTTATTAAACGAGTTGCATACTACACTTTATCTACGACGTACACAAAGAAGAATTTAAAGACAATTTTATTTGTTAAACATTTACATTTGTAACCTTACTTTTCCCTTATTTATAATAAAGCTAACTTCAGCCCGTGCCTAAAATACCCAAAAGCCGATATTGCTAACTTTAGCCCGAGACTAAAACGCCATAAAGTCACAGCTCGTCAACGTAGTAGTTAATAACCAAACTTATGAAACAATTTTGACCCCAAATTACAAAAAAGGTTTTAACTTTAAACATGACTATCTCAAAACTAAACAAAATGTACTTTTGTACCATTTGGCTTTTAGGGGCATTAAATTGTATTCCCAGTGGGTAATTTATTTTTTGGATATCCCAAAACAGTACTAAACCATTGCAAATTTTGATAAAATATTACATGACTCTAACTTTAGTTCAGAATTATTATTTGGTAAAGTAGCACAGGTAAATATTTAAAAATAACTTACATATGGGGTATTCCATACCAAATCGACCACTTTTGAACCCGACCCCTTTAGATTTTGCTGAAACTTTTCCATCCTTTTCTACCCTTTGAAAAACATTTTTGAAAATTTTTTCAAATTTTTTTGTCCAACCTCAAAAAAGTTATGAATTTAAAAAAAAAATGGCTTTTTTATTTTCAAATAGCCATAACTTTTTTAGAAATTGACTTTTGGGTACCTTTTTTTTTAATTTTTGTTTTTGAATGAACTTTTCAAAAAAATACACGAAAAAATACACAAAAAAAATTTAACATGATCAATTATATAAAATAATCGTTTTTTTTTAGTAAAATCGTCATTTTTTCGAAGTTCGCCATTTTTTTTTTTGTTTTTTTTTTCTCAAAAAAAACTTCAATTAATTTGACAACTATCCCCGCTAATCCCGGAGTGGGCCGATTTTTTTTAAATTTTTTTTTATTTATTTAAGGGTGATTCTCACCAGACGGCGCGAAAGTTGTGTCCGTTTTTTTTTAAATTTACAATACGAAAATTATCTTTTTAACCAGTTTTTTCAATAAAGGAGCTTTTGAAAAGATTGTTGTCGATAATGGTTAAACACTTTACGTTTTAATTCCTTTAAAAACTTTTTTTTTAAATTCTATTGTTCACAGAAATGAGACCAGCGTCACAGAGGTGAGATTTGCTAGAAACTTAAACAATAATTATATAAAAAAATATATTTTTTTCTCCTACAAAACATTCAAAACTTAAATACAACAACAAAATTAACTTAAAACCTAAGATTACAAAACTCGACAAAACCAGGCAAAACTTAAAATGGCAATTTGAAAAAAAAATTGGAACTTTATTCTAATTAATATTTGAAAATAATGATAGATTTGTTGAAAATGAATATTGCTTTCTTTTATTTATTAATGGTTGTGGCAAAACACAAACCACATCGTTTTTTTTAATAAGAGAAATATCTTCCTTCCTAGGAAGCACAAATTTTTTAGATCCTGACATTTTTCGGAAAAATTTAACTAGGTAGTTATATTGGTTACATTCTTGGACCACTCCAACAAAATGTTGAGTTGTTTTTTTACCAAGAAATTTTACAACGACGAAATCATGTTCTTTCACATTCTGTAGAGACAGAATCTCAGCATAGCTTTCAAGTTCTTCAACTGGATCTTGTTTTTCGGAATCTTCATCGCTGTACACATCAGCATACTTAATTTTCCTTTTAGCGGAAGAATGAGCTAAAATAGTAGAGTTAAGAAAAAAATAATATTGCTATTTCAAGAATAATGAAATGAATTTAAGGTTTAAGTAAAAATAAAGGATACATTGTAAAGGATAACTTCCCAATGGATAGTGTTCACATACATCGGATGGTGCACAATTTAAACATGTTAGTTTTCGAAGATTTAGAAGTAAATAATTGTCAGAAAACGTAACTTCATGGCACTGAATTGTTCCTTTAAAAGTCACCAGGTCATTGGGCAATTTTTTTTCTATGGAAGTAAGTTCTTCTGCATCTAAATTTAACCCATAAATTGAGACCCCTTTGCAGTGTTCTTGTAGATTCTTTAAAACACTTTTAAAATCTGACATATCTGTGCCACGAGACACTAGAGAGTCTGCAGTGCGTTTCAAACAGCCGCCAACCCCATCAGGGGCACCTTTTCCATGTCCCTTTTCACTGTAGTGCCACCTGATCGTTTTTGCAGATAAAAGTTGCTGTAGATACGTTCCTATTAAAAAAAACATTTTTCTATTGCGATACTGCGTCGCCGGACCGTCGCTTAAAAAATGAACATTGTCTAAACTAACGATTTTTTCTTTAATATCTACAATAATCGGTTTCAAATGTGCACAGATAGCTATGGGATCATGGCGTAAATTTTCAGAAATCGTGCAGTAACATTTTCTTTTCAAAGTGTTGCCTTGTTTAAAATACACTACAACTGTATGTAGCGAAATCTGAGGTTTCGACCCTCCAAAATGTGCAGACTGAATCTCCTCTGAATATTTACAATTATAATTTTCAGAGAAGTCCATATGAATTAAGACGTCATGTTCTTTAAGGCCTTCTTTGATTTGTTGAATTGCGTTAAATTGATGGTTTATGTTTCTAACGTGTAAAAAAAATGGTTTTATTGACTCTTTTAACAGTTCTAAAACTTCACCTTTGGTACTTAATTTCTTTTCTTTGATTGTTTTTACACAGTCTTTTTCTATGCCTTTAATAACCACTTTACATTTCTTTGTGCACCATCTTTCATAAACAATAGTATCTTTTTCATTAAATTTAGAGGCAGGAACTATAACATTATTTTTGCAATTGTCGCAGTTTCTTTCCAGGCAAATTTCTTTTACCATTTGGCCCATACAACAGAGAGTTTTAAAGAAATCTTCTGGCCTATTTTCATGTAAAACTCCGGTAAATTTTAACTTTTGTGTTAGTAAAAAAATATTTGCATGTTGCATACAGAGGCAGGTGTCTCGTTTTTCTACACTTTGTTGTACCACCCAAAATGGACGCATTTTACAAAATGTTGCGTAACTTACTGTAAGGTTTTCCAATTTTATAAATTTTTGATGTAGATTTTTCAATGAATCACAAAGAAATCGTTTTTGTTTTTTTATTTTATTTTTTGTCAAGCAGTCCTTTTTTCCAGGACAAAGTTTGCTGGATTCGTCCTTTTCAAGAAATGCTATGATTTTTTTCTTCATACCTAAGTACGATTCCACCCTCTTGTTGGACCTCAACGTATTTTGCCTTTTGACAAACGAAGAAGTGATTTTTTTCAGATGCCATTGAGTTCTGTATTTTTTTATAACATCTCCAGAAATATATTTCCAAAATTTTCGCTTCTCCGTTTTTTTGGTAATAGTCTTATAATTTTCGGCCAATTGTTTGGAAATTACCTCACAGAAAATTAGATTCTTTTTAACCCTTGGTGAAATTATATTTTTTTCTTCTCTAATAAGCTTTTCAACATTTTTTCTTGGCGAGCTATTATTTGGAGTTTTCTGTAATCTCTTAAGCCTCATTCTGTATTTCTCCTTTTTTTTTCTTTCTTTTTCAAGTTTTGCATTCAGTTTTTTTATCTCATTATTAAGCCTCTTGAGATTCTCTTTTCTACGTAATTTTCCTATTCTGGCTCTGCCATCATCTTTATTCGAAGGACCGGGATTTACATTCGGTAATTCTTGTACTATCGGAACAAGAGGAGTATTATCTTCTAATTCAATTTCTATAATTTTTTGGGACTGTTTCTTTTCGTAATACGTTTTGCTTCGTTTTCTCCAATTCTTTCTTTGCTGTCTCCTCTCCCTTTCTGTCATTTCTTTAATTATCTTTATCTTTCCTTCCTCTTTTCTTTTATAGTAACTATCTCGGGCTTTTTGTTTTTCTTCTTCGTATTTTATGGGGTCATCTTTTCTAGCAGCTCTAAGTTTTCTCATTGCCTCTCTTTGTCGTTCTTTTTGTTTTTCATGATCTAACTTATTTTTTCTTTGAGTAGGAGCCATATGTCTGCAAAGAGCATAATAATGGGTTTATTTTAAAGTGTTGCTTTCCAAAAACTCACCTCTGTGAAAAATTCTCACCTCTGTGAATACCTCTATTCACAGAAGTGAGATTCACAAAAGTGAGAAAATAGACGTTTTTAGCACAACAACTTTTTAAAATTTATTATTAACTTGTAAAATTTTATTTAAAAAGAATAAAATGTGAAAAACCTAATTTGTTTGTTAAAATATGTTTTTCTTACCTTTCTATTCAACGTCACAGAGGTGAAAAAAGTAAGTGTTCACAAACGCTACAGCCACGTGTTTTACACTAAAAACCGACAAATTATTTTCTTAGAAGGAAAAATTCTTACTAAAATAATTCTTTTAACTGTAAGTTAGCAAATTTCCATTTAATTTTGACAGTTGTTGATAGGTGACACCTATACTTGAAAATCCTAAGTTTGTACGCGCTTCACTGAGGTGAAATTGGGAATAAAGAACAAATATTAAATAATTAAAAAATGCCCATACTTTTGTATATTTTCAAAAACAGGTTGGACCCTGTATTTTTTAATCTACCTGGTAAAATTTAAACTAGTAAGTTATTATTTTTAAATAAAACCTTGCGCAAATTTAATAAAAATGTACACTCTTGGAACTCTTGGAACACTTCACAAAGGTGAGGTTTTTCTGTTTTAAGTGGATAAAAGTACAATTTCCAACAAAAAAAAAAAGAAAAACAAATTAGATATAGATAAGGAACTTTTATTCATTATAATTTGTAGTTTTAATTATTTTAATTTTTTTTATTATTTTTTTTTAACTGTGCGGGAACAAGTTTTCTCACCATCTCATGAGAATCACCCTTAAAAAAAATTGTCGAATTTTCTTTGACAATTTTTTTTTAAATAAATTAAAAAAATACAAAAAAAAATCGGCCCACTCCGGGATTAGCAGGGATAGTTGTCAAATTAATTGAAGTTTTTTTTGAGAAAAAAAAAACAAAAAAAAAAAATGGCGAACTTCGAAAAAATGACGATTTTACTAAAAAAAAAACGATTATTTTATATAATTGATCATGTTAAATTTTTTTCGTGTATTTTTTCGTGTATTTTTTTGAAAAGTTCATTCAAAAACAAAAATTAAAAAAAAGGTACCCAAAAGTCAATTTCTAAAAAAGTTATGGCTATTTGAAAATAAAAAAGCCATTTTTTTTTAAAATTCATAACTTTTTTGAGGTTGGACAAAAAAATTTGAAAAAATTTTCAAAAATGTTTTTCAAAGGGTAGAAAAGGATGGAAAAGTTTCAGCAAAATCTAAAGGGGTCGGGTTCAAAAGTGGTCGATTTGGTATGGAATACCCCATATATACTTATAAGCCACGTTAAATAATGTTATAGCCAGAAGACCTTCGGAGATAATATTTTCAAAAAAAAAATTTTCCTATTAGGTAGTTTAAAAAATAAAAACCACATTCATTTAATCAAACATTGTAACGTGATGTGTAACATTACAGTTACATAACCTGATGGTTACAAATAGGTTCCTATTTCCCGCTTATTAAAGTAACATTGTTAAATAACAATGTTACGTTGTCGTTACATAAATGCATTATAATTTTAATGTTGTTGTTATGTAACTTTTTAATGGATTACAATGTACATTGCCGTTATAAAAGAAAAAACATAACGTTCGACACTGTAACGTAACATTAACCAAAATGTTACGCAACAATCGTGATATGTAACATTACAGTTACCTACAAAACCTGATGGTTGCAAATAGGTTCCTATTTCCCTCTTTTTGAAGTAACATTGTTACATAACAATGTCACGATATCGTTACATAAATGTATTATTATTTTTATGTTGTTATGTAACTTTTTAATGGATTACAATGTTACATTGCTGTTATAAAATTGAAACATAACGTTTGATACTGTAACGTTACAGTACGTACGTAACTTTACCGTTAACGTTAACCCAATAATTGATGGTATAAAACATCTTATACAGAATTCTGTATAAAATGTTTTTATACCATGCTGATATCAATTATTGGGTGTTAACAGATTTTTACATTTTGGGACAGGATGTATAATAATACTGTATCTACTCCTATTGCATAATATTGTTTTTTTTGTGAATAATGATATAAATTCTCTGCCTAACAACGGAAATAATGAACTCAGTCAACATTGTAACGTAACAGTAACCAAAATGTTATGTAACAATTGTGATGTGTAACGTTACAGTTACATAACCTGATGGTTGCAAATAGGTTCCTATTTCCCACTCATAGGAGTAACATTGTTACATAACAATGTTACATTGCCGTTATGAAAATGTTACATAACTGTTACGTAACATTAACCAAAATGTTATGTAACGATTGTAATGTGTAACATTACAGTTACATAACCTGATGATTGCAAATAGGTTCCTATTTCCCACTGATAGGAGTAACATTGTTACATAACAATTGCCGTTGCCGTTATGAAAATGATACATAACTGTTACGTAACATTAACCAAAATGTTATGTAACGATTGTAATGTTTAACATTACAGTTACATAACCTGATGGTTGCAAATAGGTTCCTATTTCCCACTCATAGGAGTAACATTGTTACATAACAAAGTTACATTGCCGTTATGAAAATGAAACAAAACTGTTACGTAACATTAACCAAAATGTTATGTAACGATTGTAATGTGTAACATTACAGTTACATAACCTGATGATTGCAAATAGGTTCCTATTTTCCACCGATAGGAGTAACATTGTTACATAACAATTGCCGTTTCCGTTATGAAAATGATACATAACTGTTACGTAACATTAACCAAAATGTTATGTAACGATTGTAATGTGTAACATTACAGTTACATAACCTGATGGTTGCAAATAGGTAACAATGTTACGTTGCCGTTACATTTTCGCAATCGAACTTATGTAACATAAGATAGCCTTTACGGTTATGTAACATTGTTACGTTGCAACGTTATTATGCTCGACATAAGAAAGTTCCTTTAGTTGAACGCTAAAGCGTATCAAATGATACATAATATCGTATTCTGACTTTCCCATAATCAGGCAGACTATTTGAGGTCCAATGACAAATGGGCATGGTGCGCTGTCTTAACTTCGTTTATATACCTAATCAAGGTGGTAACACGAGCGAGATGTAACTGTTACGTAACAAACTTATTACAATATTATTGCAATGTTACGTTACTGTTATATTGCATATTGGTAATTTTGTTATATTACAATAGTTTCACAATGTTACGTTGCTGTTATATTGCATATTGGTAATTTTGTTATATTACAATAGTTTCACAATGTTACGTTGCTGTTATATTGCTTATAGGTAATTTTGTTACATTACAATTGTTTCACAATGTTACATTGTTGTTAAATTGCTTATTGGTAATTTTGTTACATTACAATAGTATCGCAATGTTACGTTATTGTTAATTGCATATTGGTTAACTTGGGACGGTAACAATGTTACCATTATTTTAGGTAACTGTTGCGTTGCATTTTAGTAACATCGTTACATTGCAGTGTTACTCCTATGTTGCATAACGGCATTACTGTTACGTTAAATGTTGACCGGGTCATTTCAATATTTAAACCAATCGGGTTTTAAATTATTATTATAATAACATTTAAAATTGGTAAAAAGTGAGGTTAATAATTTGACAGATGTCAGATTTTATTAAATTATTTTTGAAAATCATTTAATTATCTACTTATTGAAGTATATAAAGCATAGTATTGCAATCGAGATTATGCGAATTAATTATACTCTCGGATGATTTAAGTCTCTTTGCTGACAGAAAAACAATTAAACGTCGGGTTTCCTAAATATTCACTAATATAACATATTTTAAAAGACAATTTAATTTGGAAGAAAAAATAAATATTGCATAACTACCCTAAATTTAATAATAAACAATAAGTATGCTCTTTAACTTTCTGATTGTAATTATAATAAATTAATAATTTAGTTATTTCAACAACCAGGGGAAAGTTTAAGTTTTTATTAATTGTTTATTTTTAAGTTTAAATTGTCTTTTAAAATATTTAAAAATATGCACCCTGTCCCATTAAAAAAATTGTTATTTTTGTAAATATTTCGGTAAACCCATATTCAATTGTTTTTCTGTTTTCACCAATTAAATCAGTCGAAAAAATGCCAATTTGCTAATTTAACCGAATTTGTAGTTGAAATAATAACGGAGTTACTAATAATCACCTAATTAACATAAATTGCCTTTGCTTACTGCGTTTATTTAATTTATTTTACTTGGCAACACCGCCAGGACGCCGAGAAGTTGGAAAATAAAATTATTTGAATATCATGGACGCTAAGAAGAGCTATAATGAACGGACGCTAAGAAAATAGTACGATGAAAAATATACGCTAGGACGCTCATAAGTAGTCGAAATAAAAAGACGCCTCGATGATAGTGTGATGTATATATATATATATATATATATATATATATATATATATTGGACACCTAAGAAGTTATAGTGGTTTATAAAAGGCCGCGCGTTAAGAATTTTGTATTTAAAATTATTAAACAGCTATAGATTGCGCTCTTATAACACTAGTTTACAAAATCGAAAAAAAAATTTTTTTTCCATGTATTTTGACCCACTAAACACGAAAATCACAAAAAAAAATTTATGGAAGAGTTTTTGAAATATGAATTTTCAATTGTTTTTTTTTTAATTTTCGGAGGTGTTTTGAGATTTTGGGGGGGTTTCCCCTTTTTACCCCCATATTTTGACACCACTGGATTTTATTGGAAAATAATCAGATTTCTTATTCAATTTAGAAGCAAAACTTGTGTGTTAAATTTTCATAAGATTAGTGGTTTCGGAGACTTTAAAATTTCAAAAACACCGAGTACACGGAATTTTATCATATTTTATTTTAAATCGGTAACTTGGTAACAACTATGCCACGTTATCAGTTTATAAAATGTATTTTAAAAATAAACTAGCGTCCAGGAGTCATCGTGCAGTTGTTACTGAACCCGTCATATTTTTAGGTTGTTTTATTGTAACGTTGATTGAGGATTACAATCAACGTCTGTAATTAATAATTTAATTGTATTATAATACAAAATCAAACCAACCCAAAAACCACCCTATTGAAAGCGATTATTCCATTATTTCATTGGTAAATTTTTATTGGCCCAATACAATCGTTCAGAAAAAAAATATTTTTTTATTACTAAAATAATAACAAAAGTTCCGGGTACACAGTGTTTTTGAAATTTTAAACTGAAATATCTTCGAAACCATTGATCTGATAAAAAATAACCATAAAAGTTTTGCTTTTAGATTGAAAAAGGATAAAAATAAATCTGATGATTTTCTAATAAAATCCAGTGGCGTCGAAAATATGAGGGTAAAAAGGGGAAACCCCTTCCAAAATCTCCGCCACTGGGCCTTTTGTAGGAAATTTTCATTATATTATCGACGGAAGCTTAACCTACACAAAATTTAAGAAGAATCGGTTTGATGGTTTAAAAATTATTTTGAAAGACTATATCTCCGTTAGTAGGTATGCATTTTTGAAAAATGTTTTTGGGTTTGTTTTTATTGTTTTTTCAGGCTCTATCGATCATTAAAATTTTTCAGATTAATCCTGGACCACCCTGTATATTAGGGTGATTTAAAAAATCTACTATTCTTTTTTTTTAATGATGATATAGAAAAATTAGTTGCTGGGCACCTCAAAAGAAGCCTACCTACGTAAAAGCTCTTACTATTAAGAGTAAGATCCTCATTGCAATTTTTCATTTTTAACATTTTAGTCCTATGAAAAACATGTTGTAGCTCACTAACAAATGAGTATAAAGCTAAGCTCAATAAAGTTTTTATATGGAATCGAATGCTCTATAAAAAAGGTATCCTATGATTTTTTCGTAAACCAAGATATTCAAAAGATATCTTGGAACAAAATTATAGATTTTGAAAAAAATTTATATTTTTTTAAATGTTATCACTTGAATAGTAAGGATTTTAAAATAAGTAGTATAAATTTTTGTTGGAAATTAACTGATCTATAAAAAAGGTTTCTTTAGTTTTTTTTGATAAATGTAAATATAATCGCAACTAAAGTTCAACTTATACTTTACTTTTTTTTAATAACTAGGTACCGTAAAAAATATTAATTAAAAATAATATTTTTATAAATTTGTGTTCTTTCTTATTAATTAAAATAAGCTTTTAACTATTTCACATTTTGTTCAAAACTTTTTAAATATTGACCTAAGATATCTTTTGAATGGATAGGTTTACGAAAAAAACATAAAATACTTTTTTTGTAGAGCATTTGTTTCTAAATAAAATGAAGAAACAAAAACAAGGCTTTAAGTCAGTTATTAAGGTCACAAATTAGTTTTTACGAGAAAATTACCATCTATTGATAGTTCTCGACCTCTAGACTGAAGAAATGGTTTGGCACAGTGGGGCAAACAATTTGCAGACGAACAGGAAGTACTACAAGACCTAGCAGCGAACTAACCAACCAAGCCCCAAATTCCTTTTCGTAGTCTTTTTTAAATTGTTCTTTGATCTTTTCTCCTCGTTGATAAATCGTTACCAAATGAAAAAAGACTTAAATCACTAAATTTCTTTTTAGTGATTGCTGTCACGAGCTTCTCGGCCACATGCCACTACTGGCAAACCCAAGTTTCGCCCAATTCTCCCAAGAACTAGGTCTGGCATCGCTGGGGGCTTGTGAAGAAGACGTCAATAAACTAGCCACGGTAAAAAAACAAACATAAAAAAATCCCGACGCTTTAAAAAACATTTTATTCTCAGCTGTACTTTTTCACCGTCGAGTTTGGAATATGCAAGGAAGCAGGAGAACTGAAAGTGTATGGGGCGGGACTTTTGAGTTCAGTGGCGGAGCTCAAACATGCTCTGACGAATCCTGATAAGGTTAGGAGGTTCGATCCTGACGAAACCTGTTTACAGGAATGCATCATCACCGACTACCAACTCGGTTACTGGTACACCGATACTTTTGAGGAGGCAAAAGAAAAAATGAGGTAAATATTGACATTTGATGATAACACAAAGATAGTTTTAGAAACTTTTTTTTCCTAACATTGAGTACTCCAGCTTAGTTTAACTAATTTTGGGCCGCTGATTTCAAAAATGTAATTTGTTTTTCTCTAGGACGTCTAGGATTTAAAATAATTTCGTAATAAAATGTCTGCTCAATCACCTTATCAAAATGTAAGTTTTTTGTTAGTATTTTAATTATTTATTAAATTATTTTGGCTTAAATTTATATTGAATGTACTTTAGTATATGGAAAATAGATCATATTCATCTTAACAATATGACATTTTAAATACTAAAACTAAAATTTGAATTTTATTTTATGTAAAAAACAACCATTATTTGACATTTTTTGTCGTTTATTTTAATTAGGGCAACAAAGTAAACAAGTTTCGGTTTTATTTTTATCCAAATAAAGCCCACAAAATTTAATGCATTGCATAATTTTGCATTTTTCAACCTTAAATTTATCAAATCGTATCAAATATAGAATTGAATTATAGTATTATTGTGCTTTATCCTCATCATCGTCGTACATCTTTTGCTGCAAATTCCAGCAAATATCTCCTAGTAATGAATCCAACTTCTTTCCGCTATACCCATACATATCTGGTAGATATTATCTACCAATGCTCTAGATTTGCAGTTATTTGGTGAAATCGTTCTCCATGTTCATCAGTTCGGCAAATTTATCAGGATGAAAAAAAAGAAAATGTATTTTAAATGACATATTAACGCTAATTCTTTATAAAACGGAGATTTTTTCAATGAATTGGCGCCAATTTTAGGCCCGATATGAACCAAGAACATTTCAATGACAGATTTAACACTGCCATATGCGACAAGCTCGTCAACTTTGAGAGCACTTTTGAATGCTTGATCTTTCATTAAACGTCGTATATAAGGTCCATTTAATATTCCTGCAAAATTAAAGTAGTATATATCTCATAAAATTTTGCAATGGAATATTGCGTTGGTTTTTCTTGGGCGTAAAGGTACCGCAACAAAAACAAAACAAATTTACAACGACGACTCCTTTTTCTTTCTTTGCCACTTCCATTTTCTGCTCTTTTTCATTTTTGGTTCTTAAAATCACTTTCAAGTAAAAATGCAATTTAAAGTTTAAATTTTAAATGTCAAAAATTAATAGATGCACTTTAATGTGCTTGAACGAAAAAGTAGGTAAAGACGCCTTTATATTTCAATTCGATATTAAATTTTGATAATACTTAATAAATAAGATTGGAGATTGAATTTTTGGGTACTTAAGCCTAAATTTAGGCATGATGTGAATAAAAAAATATCAAATAATAGTCGAAGAGTAATGTTTATACTTTGTTGCCTTTTCAATTAAATTAGTAGGTAATTAAAGAAACGTCACAACAATTTCAAAAAGTTATACTTTCTAACCGTCGTGGCGAATGTTTCAAAATGCGTCATCAATGTCGAATGTCAAAAACCGATTTCTCGACATACGGTTAACCTAGCGGTTCCTTGGATTATATACGTAAAAGAAAACAACAATAATTGTAATGTCTGTGCTTGGTTCAGAATTTGATTACGCAATTTGAAACATTCGCCGCGACAACTATACCATAGTATACGCTCCAATGAAACAAAAAAAAAATTTCTATTTGACATTTATCTACCGATGACTTTGTATGGAGTCCCTGTATATTTTTGACAAAAAATATACTGAACATCCAAAATAGATTTAAGGCAAAATAATTTAATAAATAATCAAAATATTTATTAACGAAAAACTTACATTTTGAGATAATTTGGCAAAGCATTTTATTACGCCATTATTTCTAATCCTAGACGTTCTGGAGTAAAACGAGTGGCATTTTTGAAATCAGCAGCCCAAAATTAGGTAATATAGGTGGGCGTACTCAATGTTAGTAATTTGAACTATCATAGTCACGGTGCTGTTCTGATAGGTGATTTTTGGACTTTCTGTGAAACCTAATTTTTTTTATATTCTTGTTAATTAGGTCATAACTAAAATTTTAAGAGCAAAATAAAAAAAAAATTGACGGTTTGAATTGTTTTAATTGGCTGTTTATTAAAAATATTATGCACTCTTTCAATTATCCAATTAAAACTAGCGATTTAATTTAAATATTTAATATTTGCATAACTAAAAAAAAGGTTGTTACAATTTTACTGTTTTGTTGCATAAACGTTCAAACTTTTAATACATTTATGTTCCCTTAATTAATATATCCTTAAAGGTTGCCATGAAACTTAGATCTATTAAAAATTTATTTGATGTTTGAATTGTCATTTTCAGTATACGTATTTTATAATTTTTGTTTAGTTTTTTAAAGTGTTTTTTATAAACAAAAATGAAAAATTGCGGTAAAAGTTACGAAGAAATTCATGAAATTTAACTAAGGACCGGTTTATTCATCTTTAGTAAAGTTTATCGGGCCGATAACTTTCATGTCTTGGCAATATCTACGTATCAGTATCCAAAGAAATTATTCGTCAAATAAATCAAAAATGAATAAATCGGCCCTAAATAAAATGTGGCACCCTTAGAATTATTTTTTAATAAATGTATACTATGCATTGAACCTTAAATTAAAACTTTAAACGTGTATTACAACAAAACAGTAAAAGATATAAAAAATGTATAAGTAGGCCTCAACTTTTTTTTATTTTGCTCTTAAAATTTTAGTTATGACCTAATTAACAAGAATATAAAAAAATTAGGTTTCACAGAAAGTCCAAAAATCACCTCTCAGAACAGCACCGTGTAGTGTCATTATCATCAAATGATTATCATTAATGATAATCATTTTGTAGGAAATTTGCAGAGCAGATTCAGCGGCCGTTCGGCATTAGATACAACCCATACACTCAAAGTGTGGAGGTATTGAGCAACGCTCAGAAAATTACGGCTGTTGTTACTGAGCTGCGGGGCGATTTGTGCATTGTGAACAGCGCTTTAAAGAAGATAAGCGCGAAGGATTCCACCATCGATATTAACAGGATCACCAATTTGCTGCAGCATGGCTTATTGAATAATGCTTGTTCTTCTCAAGACCACGCTGAGATTGAGATCGAAATCGAGGAAGAAAATGAAAAAATATGAAGTTTTTTTGATGTTATACGAAAATTTAACAAAAATTTAATTCAAGTAATAATATCTATGTAATTAATTGTCACAATGTTGTAAGGTAAAAGAGATTGTAAAAATGTTATAAAAGAAAATATATAATTGTTAAAGTAGCAAAATTTCTTTTCATTACATTATTATAAAAAAATCATAATATTAAAAATGAAATTGTTAATAAATGAATCAATAAAAAACAAGTGTAAAAAAAATGATAATGATATATAAATCAATATAAAAAAAACAATATAATTATTTGCGAAAGTGCAGAACTAAGAATTTTTTGTGGCTTTGAAACACGTTCCCATGTTTCCAAATATTCCCAAAATCTGGGATCTTTGTTTTTTGCGGCGTTCCTAAATTCACAGAACTTGAACTATTTAATATTGCCAAATTTCCAAAAAAATCCCAAAAACTGGGAATTTTTTTAAATCTTCAGGATACACTTTAGTAAGTCATCTTGCACTATTTAGTGGTGTTGCCAAATTTATATAAACAAAGATATAAATCCTGGCATATATATATATATATATATATCAGGGTTCGCAGCGAATGAAGCAAAAAATTTAGGGCACTTTTATTTTTAACATAGGGCACTAAATTAGTGCCGATTTAAGGAAATTGTTGGAATAATTTACCTTATACATAAACAAATTATACCGTTGTTTTTTACATACCTAATTACTAGGGCATACAATCCCGGACAATATTAGGATTTCTTAAATCCCGGGATTTTCGGGATTTTTTTAAATTACAAAAAACATTTTTTTTAAATAATTTATTACTAAATACTTGAAACCCTTTTTTATATAAACAATTTGGAAAATAAAGGAAAAATATAAACAACAACAGTTAAGTAATATTAATCACTTATTTAATTACATACAACTTACAGTTCTGTAAAATGTATGTAATTAAATAAGTAATAAATTTTACTTTCCGATTTTTTTTTAAATTTCCCACTGTAAGATGTAGATATGTAATTAAATAAGTGATTAATTTTGCTTTCCTATTTTTTTGAAATATCCCACTTTTTGTCCGAAAGTCCCGGGATTTTATCCAAAAAATCCCGTGGATTGTATGCCCTATTAATTACATTTTCGCACTTAATTAACATTTAGTGTAAATTTTATTTACAAGCATTTAAATTTTTATATATCACAATTTAAAAAATAAACGAAAAATTGATAAAAAAAAATAGGGCACTTTATTTTAAAATAGGGCACTTTTGGGGCACGCTGAAAAAAATAGAGCACATTAGGGCACTCGCTGTGAACCCTGATATATATATATATATATATACAATATATTATACATATATATATATATTTGAGAAGTGTGTTTGTGTGTTTGCCTTTTAGGCAGCTACGGATCGACGTGATCTTTTACATATATGTCTATAGATAGTATATGGGACGGAGACTTTATATTTTTATTTAAACGCTGTGGCTCCCGTCCCGAGGCGGGACTTAAGTTCAGTCCCGATTGACGTCATAATTTTAAGATTTGTTATGTTATAATAAAATAATAATAATAATAAATTGTACCTGTATACATGTTAAGGGCACGTTAGTTACGTCATAAAACCAAACCAACCCAAACTCAACAACACAACCCAACCGACCCCGCCCCATTGGCCCCCCCCCGCCCCATTGGCCCCCCCCCGCCCCATTGAGCAAAAAACCCAACTAAAATGGGCAAATTTATGTTACGATAAAAATAAAACACTTTTTAACAAAGAAACAACAAATTTATAAAATAAAGAAAATAAAAAAAGTTTGACAACTTCAAGTAGAATCGAACCCGGTACCTCTCGCATGCCAAGCGACCGCCCTACCATCTAAGCCATCCAGCTTGACACCAATTATAAAAGCTCGGGGAATAAAAACGGATTTACAGTGTGTGACGTCTGTCGGGATCGAAGTTAAGTCCCGCCTCGGGACGGGAGCCACATCGTTCTTTAAATCACAAAACCTGGGATTTTTTGTGACGTTGCCATATTTTAAAAAATTACTAGAAACTTGGATCTTTTTTATGCAGTGTTGCTAAATTTCCGATAATTCCCAAAATTTGGAAATTTTTCAAAATCTTCAGGATATCTTCAGTAAATGATCTTGCATCATTTAACGTTGTTGCCAAATTTCTAAAAAATCCCAGAAACTGGTATTTTTTTTAATCGTATAAATTTGCAAAGTGTGTTGTTTGTTTGCTTTTCAGGAAGCAACGGACCGACGTGACTACCATAGGCTCTTTTTTTTCAAAAAATTACAGTACCTGGGAATTTTTTTTGTAACGGTGTCATATGTACAATTCCCAGAACCTGGGATCTTTGTTTTTTTTACGGTTGCTAAATTTCTGAACTTGGAATTTTTTAACATGGTCTCTTTTTTATATTATTTTTTCCAAAAAATCACAGAAATTGTGGTTTTTGTGACGTTGCCATATTTCCAAAAATATCCAGAAACTGGAATCTTTGTTTTATGCGGTGTTGCTAAATTTACAAAAATTCCCAGAAACTGGGAATTTTTGAAAATGCTCAGGTTACCTTTAGTTAGTCATCTTGCACTATTTAGTGATGTTGCCAAATTTATATATTTGTACATATAAATCCTGACATATATTTGCGAAGTGTTTGTTTTTTTTTAAACCAAGCGAGCGAAGCTCCAACTACTATATATACAGGGTGTTAAAAAAATGTAAAATATTTTTAGGGCGTATATTAGAGCCAAGAAGGAGACAAAAAGTCCTTTAGCCTTATTCGATCTGACTCACCTTTAATTAGTTATTAATTAAATAAAGTTGCCATTTACACGCATTCTAAAAAGAATGTCAGAAAACTTAACCAAAAAACAAAAACACTGACAGTGACATTTATACAAGTAAGGTAAATTCGAACTACCATCGAATTTCTACACAAATGTGATTACCTATTATTTAATTTTCAATTTTAGTATTAAAAAATCTACAATTTAATTATTTCAACAAAAACTGTTGAAATAATCAAATTGTAGTAGGTGCTAAAAATATGGATATTGAATTTTTTTATTACTAAAGTTAAAAAATAAATAAAAATTATAAAACATATTTTCGTAGAAATCCGATAGCTATGAAGTATTGTAGTGTGAATTGACCTTAATTGCATAGTTGTCACTGTCAGTGTTTTGGTTTTAGGTGAAGTTTTTCCTAGAAATATTTTATCCTTTTTTAACACCCTGTATAAATGAATCATCTGACACCTGTCAGACAAATTTAACCTTACTTTTACTAATTTATAATAAAGCTAACTTTAGCCAGTTAAATTTTAACACACAATTTATAAAAATGCCTTAGAAAACTAATAAATTACAAGAAACTTACTATAAAGAGCCACAAACACACAATATTTATTATACATGAATAATTTTGCATTACTTTCACAATAACCACATTATAAATTAACCTATTAATAATTATTATAATAATAAATAAATATCCTTGTTAATTGGCAACCAACATCACATGCAAGAATATTACTATTGTTTTTTCTTCCAGTTTTTTCATCTACAAAAACGTTTTTTACATATCTAGGTACTTTGAATAGATTTGATAGCTAATATGCAGAAATTTTAAAATAGTGATTAAAATAAACAAAAAAATATCCAAATTTCTTTAATAACAATTTTTACAAGTATAACCAAAATAAATATAATTTTAATAATAAACCAACATCATATTAAACATAACATAAAAAGCACATTATTTGCATTCAGCAAGAAAATTTTCAATAATTCTAATTTTTAAAGGAGCATCCCAATCTAGGATTTCAATTTCTCCACCAAGCACAATTTGAATATTATTTACAAAAATTTTAAAATTGCTTTTTTCAGAGGTAATAATATTTTTTAATTTAGTTTTGTTAAAAGTGCTACAAAAAACAACAGTAATATGATCCAGAAACACATAATAATCATTATTTTTAATAGTTCAGAACCAATCAGTACTATCCCAGTAAGGTATTAAAATTGTATTTTTATGAGTTTTAAAGTGGCTCTCAAGTTCAGAAAACTTCTTAAAATTCTCCATTGCGCAATTTGTCACCGGGCACATTGGTATGGGTTCGCGGTAAACACAGTTTTGTTCATGTTCATAAAGATCCAAGCCATTAAAATGCTTCTTACATTTCCATTTACAAAATGCTCTCAAATGTAGGTATTCTGTAAGACAGACTCTTATGCATACACTTAGAATATGACCTTTAGAGCAAATTTGGCTTACATGATCTTTACAAAAACTACAACATACAACTGTTGGTTTTGAACATTTTGTGTACTCAAAATATTCCTCTGAATACAATTGTTGTTTTCTACAAAAACTGCAAAAATAGTTCCTTATTATTTTTTCTCCAACACTGTTAATAACAAACCTTCTGCAAGGAGATAGTTTACAACCAGGATATAAGTTTTTGATTGTTGATGACAAATATAATTCGTTATTATTTATGGATAATTTGTCTTTTTTTTTTACCTCAAATTTACTAAACTGTACAACATCAAACCTTACTATTAGTTCACAGATAATTTTATGCCCTCCTATTGAAAAATCAAATATTTTTTTTGAAGATGTGTTGCATGGTTGAGACTTGCTCTCTATAAAACCATTGATAAAACTTTCTTTAACACAAAATTGCTGGCTAATCTGTTTGGCTAACTCTTCGGGACCAACCAACTTATTGTTGAGGAAAACTTTGCTGTTGACTGTATCCACTAAAATGTTCCACAGGAAAATCATGTTTTCAGTGCAGTACAAGTAGTGTTTTTCTGAATCAATGGTGGCATTAATTTGCACAATGGGCCTTGCCAACAAGAAACACCTATGGTATTTTTTAAAGTGCGCCAGCATCATATAGGGAGGCATGTTTGCTTCGGAGCACAATGGACAAGTGTGAAAACTTTTACTGATGCAGTTCATTTCGTGTTCTTCCACTTGATCAGGGAGTAAAAGCGACGAGCATCCCTCGTAACGGTTGTAACATTTAAAAAGCATCGTTGGAATCACTTTATTCACTTGGGATGGCGCTCCGTTATCGTTTTCTTCCATGCAACGGCCGCATTTCGTGTCTCTGTTGGGGTAGACGTGAACCGGCAAAACCGACAAATATTTTGAACATTCCGAACAGATCATCTGGTCCAACACCTTGTCAGGAACTATCGAATTCATGTTGTGGATTTTATTAAAGCTTTTTTGAACTTTTCTATCGCACGTGTTTGTCGGTACACGTTGTTGAACAACCAATCACAACACAAAGCCATGAGATCACGTGGTTGATACCAACGGTGTTTATTGGTTCTTCGGTTTTTTAGGCCTACTATTTTTTTAGATTTAACTTCTGTTGCCACAGGATCGTGTTTTTTGGCCCTCTTTTAACTTTTAACCTTTATGATCTATACTTTTAACATTTTAACAATAATATTTTATTAATAATATATATAATGGGTATAATACATACAATTTTAGTTTAACAAAATATTTGTGTCATTATGCAACCCAGATTACAAAACTAGACAACCTAACCTCACTTTAAGTACCTAACCTCCAAATTTCACATGGCTATCAAAACATCCCAGATGGGTGCAAAACAAAAGTTTGGCATTTCCTTTGACAAGAAACTATTAAACCAACTAAAAGACAACGAGTGCAGCTGTGTGGAGGTTCATCAGAAAACTCAACATCTAGCCTTACACCCTTTACAGCTGGAGAATTTAAATAACTCTATTAAGGATACGTTGAATAAAGGGATTGCACGATACAACAAAAAGTAAGTGTACTAAACATAAAATTTATTTTATTCTACTATAGTTGTTGTTTTTAGGTTGGAAGGTATTCTTTTGGGCTACCAACACATAAAACTATGTGGTGACACGGGGGCTATCAACTTTGACTCCTGTTTTGTGCATATCGACATACAAGCTGATTTTTACTTGTTTAAGCCCAATGTAGATAGAATTTTGAGCGGAATTGTGAATAAAAAAAGCACTGATCACGTTGGCGTGTTGGTTTACAGTGCTTTCAATGTTTCTCTGCCAAAACCAGCCGATGCTGAAGATTGGTTGGGTGAGAGGGTTCAAATAGGAAGTGAGGTTACATTTAGGGTTAGTTTCACCGATTTTGAGTCTCGGTTGCCTTATATTAGGGGAGAAATAATGTGAGTGTTTTTGTGGATTTTTGTTATTTTAATATTTAGATATTTTGTTATTTTTTAGTTCTATAACTGAGAATGATAGTGGCATAAGTACCAGTGAAGAAGGAGGTGATAAAAAGAAGAAAAATACAAAGAAGAAATTCAATGATAAAGATAATGATGAAGACACATTAAAATCACCCAAGAAGATATCATTTGAATCCTCAATTATTGAAGAAACGCCGAAATTGAAGAAAAAAAAACGCTCTTCTTTCTCAGAAAGTGATAAGGAATTTAAAGTTCCTTCACCAAAAAAGAAGCGCAAAAAAGACATGGATAATTCTTTAGATGAATTGCAAAAATCCATGCTTCAAGAACAAATGAGCTTGTTGGGAAGCATGAATAAGAAGAGTAAAAAAAGTAAGAAATCCAAAGAAGAAATGGATGAAGTAGCAACTAAAAAGGAGAAGAAAAAAAAGAACAAGAAAAACAAAGATAAAAAATCAAAGGAAGATGATGAAATATCCCTCCCAGACTTGAACCTAAACGAATTATTTTCAAGGGATATTTCAAAAAGTGCAAGCAAAGTTGACATGGCTGATAGCCAAGACAAAACAATAAAAAAGAGGCACAGTTCCACATCGCAGCTTTCTTATTCTTTTAATTTACCTTCCAATTCTGATTTGGATGAAAGTTTGAAAGAGGAGAGTTCTAAATTGAAAAGGAAAAGATCCTTGAGTGAGTCATTTTCCCCCTCAAAGAAAAAAAAGAAGAATTTCATTAAGGAATAGTAGGTATAAAGATTTTTTTTAAATACCTAGGTAGTTAATGGAAATTTTGTTTTTATTTGTTTTAAGTGGTGTTTTAAAAAATATGACGTTAATATTATCTACTATTTTTTAGTTATCAAATGTAAATAATATATTCAGTATCGCGGCTTTTAAAAAAAAATGTTAATTTTGCAGGAAATGGCTCAAAATGTACTATTTAAAAAAAACAAATACAAAAAGGGGGGGAGGGTGTTTTTAATAATTTCTTTTACCAAATGTCGATTTTATTTAAATTTTGATTTTAAATTTGCACTACCCCAACTAAACTTTAAAACCGTCATATTCAATGAACGTTTTGAGCAGTTTAAATTGTGTTTAAAGTGTAGATCTTTATAAACTTTATTTTTAAAACAAAAAACGCCATATTTTTACAAAATACAAGGCCTACTCAGTTTTTAAGAGTATATTTTTAAGAATTCATATTAGCGATTTTTTTAAACAAAATCTAAGCACGGCACTGGATTCATCATCCTACACTAAATTTTATTGAAAAATTTTAAGTGGAAAAATGCACAATAATAACTAAAAAAAAATATTCTGTCAAGTTATCCATGAAAAAACATTGAAATAAAATTAAACTTATATTACCATGTTACTATTAGTATAATTTTATTTTAATGTTTTTACATGGATAACTAGACAAAATAAATTTTTGTAGTTAATATTGTGCATTTTTCTAATTAAAATTTTTCAATAAAATTTAGTAAAGGGTCGTTTTGAGGGGTAGTGAATTCAGTGCCTTGCTTAGATTTTGTTTAAAAAAAATCGCTAATATGAATTCTTAAAAATTAACTCTTAAAAACTGACATAGTAGGCCTTGTTTTTTGTACTAATATGGCGTTTTTTGTTCCAAAAATAGTTTATCAAGATCTACACTTTAAAACAAATCCGATCAAAATCGCACAATAAATATTTACAGGGGTGAGTCGCAAACAAATGGGTCACACTGTATAATAAAATGACGACAAAATTGTGTACCAACAAAACAAAAACACATTTTTAAATTTGATACTTTTGAAAAGTGGTGTAGTGCACAGTTTTAAGCAAAGGTTGTTGAATTAAACATTATAATGATACATTATTTAACAGTCCTGGAAAACGTAGTAATTTACATTTATTAATAACAAAATTTATCATAACCTCATTTTCTCCCGATTTTAAATATCATTATAGGTAGTCGCCCCTCGTATATATCAAGTCCTCTAATATTTTACTGCAGTGCTAAGCTAAACTCCTGTATCTACAATATTGAGTTTTATTGTTTTAAATGGACGCCTTTCTGCAGAAAGGAACCAACCCACAAAACCAAAAAAATCGAGATATTTAGCCTATGAACTAATTAAGTATGTATAATTTATCTGCAAAATAGGTCATAGCCAAAATGCAAGTGTAGTGAAATCTATTAACCATTGAACCAACCAACATTCAATAATAGTGTGGATTACTAATCCAGAATTAGAATCTGTAGAATATCTGCAAGTGGGTTGGATGTTTTTTGTAAAAAAGCAGGCTGGTAGATCCACTACCAAAGTCTTTAAAGATTTCCTGCTTCTGCAAAATATAAAGTCTTGATGCATTTTTTTGGTAGCTTACAAGATGAGGTGGGGTTGGAAGATGATGTGGACGAATTTTAAATAGAATCAAAATTAATTCATATTACCATTATAATAGTAATATCAGTTGTATTTTGTTTGGAAATAAATAATTGTCGCTTTTCTTTAAATACATACATACATCAGATAGTAGTTTTCATAAATTGCAGAAAGGAACCAACCAACAAAAGCCCATTTTTTTCGTCACCCTTACACATAACATCACAAAATCCACCTGATGAAATTATTAAATTATATCCCTTAAACCTCCGTAAGTCCAAAATCGGCATAAAATTAACAGGTAATTTTAAAATTATTAAAATCTTTGATAGCTTTTTTCTCAGTTTCATCATGGTGTGGGTTGGTCCCATTCTGCAGAAAGCCGTCCAAATAGTAAAATGATCTTTTATGGCACGACGTTTTACTTTTTATTGGATAAGAAATATTAAGTTAAATATTAATACTTAACTTAATATTTCTTATACAATTAAAAAATAAAACAGCATGTCGTAATTAATTTTATGTGTACGCATAATTTTAATTCTAATAAAAAATGATACAATTAATTTTATGTATAAACATAATGCACTAAATTTTTATTTTGTAATTAAAATTATGACTACGTATATATTAAAAATTTTAGAATTAATTTAATGTGTACAGACAAATTTATATAATTAATTGTATGTCTACACATACAATTAATTTGGCGCTGCGAAAGTGCGGCCGAAAGTGGCAACTTCCGAAGCGCCAAATTAATTTTAAGTGTAGACATAAAATAAATTATATAATTTTATGGGTACAAATAAAATTAAGTGCATTAATTTTATGTGTACACTTTAAATAATTATTATTATGCCTAGACATAATAATAATTCACTATTTTTCCTATCTGTTTCCATTAAATTAGAATTAAATTTATGCTTGACATAATTTTAAAAAACCTACTTTAATTTTCTTTTACATTCAAAACATTTACGATTATTTTTTTGTATTTTGTATTTATTTGTATTTATTGTAGATACATGAGTTGATTTTAGTAGGGCAGTATAGGCTTAAAAAAATTGATTAAGGGTTAGTTTATTCGCACCTAAAGATCCTTAAAATATGTAGTGTATTATATTAATTTATGTCTCCAGATTTGTTATATAACGTTTTTTTTAATAAGGTTTTTTTGGGCCATTTCAGAAAAGTTGCGGTGCGGACCAATTATCGTAAAAAATCGTAAACTTTAAAACATACATATATAATATTTTTATGTATATATATTTTTAATATTAAACTAAACAATTATAAAAACGTTAAGTTAACTTTTTAATCAAATGAAATTAAACAAAGGTATTTATAAGTAACTATCTTTATTTAACAGCCTTTTAATTACACAAAATCACAGATCTACTAGGTATACCTACATATATTTTTAACAAAAATATTACACTTCATATCATGGTACCATTAAACATGTTTTTTATCAAATATTTTAAAAAAATTACAAAACTACCTTTGAGATACTTGACTAGCATGATTTCGATGTGCACTTCCCGGATTATTCCGGTCAAGGCAAGGGCCACGGAAGTCCGGAGAAGTCCACCGGACCGCCGAGTCCGGCGTCCGCCTCCAGAAGGCTCATCAAAACCGCCATGGCCGCCTCGTCGTTTCCGTCCATCGAAGGGCCGTTGTTCGGTGAATCTCTGACCACGTCTTCTATCATTTCTATGATCCCCTCCTCCGAATTTCCCCCTGAAATATTCATTGGTTGAGGTGGTGCTTTTTACTCAAAAAAATCCTTGATCTTGTATTTTTTATATGGACGGCGGCAACGTTGCAAATTTAGGGTTTTGGTTGGTAAAAACGGAACCAGAATTGGTTGCATTGATTAAAACAAACTAAACTATAGTTATAAATGTAATTATAAGGTAATTGTGGTTAGGTTTAAATTACACAGTGCAACAGTGCAAAAGGAAATGGGATAAAACCAAATGCAAATGAAAGGTAATAGCTTCTACAACAAAACCCTACTAGGTTTTTTTTAGATCACATCTCAGTTTTTTATTATAAGCATTTAAAGTTTTTTGGACGCCCTATAGTAAGTAAGTAAAATTAAGTAAAACAATTTTATTTTTTCAAAATTATTCTTACAATATAGTCTAAGATCCATTTTTTATGTTAATTTTTACTTAAGATCTACAGTAAGTTTTTTTATTAGTAAAATGATATTTTTATTATTTTTGAGGCTGAGAAATCCATTTTTGTTGTAAATACACTAGATGATATTTCAAAGCAATATTTATTATTTTTGATATATTAGTATAGAAACATATTTTTTGACGTAAAGAGCATTATAACTAGAAAATTTGGCATTTTTATAAAAAAAAAATATTCTCTTTAATGCTTTAACCATGTTATTATTTTAAAAATAATATTTTTAAATACGTAAATTTATTTATGTCTAAAAACAATACAATTATACAAAAAATTGTAGTTTTTGTAGCAAAAACGACGTTGTTTAAAGGTAAAATTTATTTGTTAACTTAAAAATACATAGTAAATCAGTGACAGCAACATAAAGCGTTTTTCTTAATTAATATAATTAATTAAACTTATTAAAGTTAAAAATGAACGAATGTTTGAATAATTTAAATTTTTTTGTTATATTTGTGGACCAGGTGCCAGTTTTTAGAACTTGTAATAATAATTTAATTAAATGGTCACAAAAGAAAAAGAAGTCCATTAAATTTGGTTTTCCAATGTTGTGGTATAATCCAGGTATTTTTTTTATTTTTATATTAAAACTTGGATTATCTATTCGTATTTTTGATGATATTGATTATATTTTGCATTTTTGTAAATTTTTAGATGAACATGATCAATTACAGTGTTATGTGTGTTTAAATAATTTTATCTACTCCACCATTGAGAAGCTGTGACTTTATGGCGTTTTAGTCACGGGCTGAAGTTAGCAACAGTGGCTTTTGGTCATTTTAGTCACGGGCTGAAGTTAGCTTTAATATTAATTGGGAAAAAGTGAGGTTAAATCCTTTGACAGTTGACGGATGTCAAATGTTTAACAAATAAAATTGGCTTTAAAATCTTATTTATGTTCGTCGTAGATAAAGTATAGTATGCAACTCGTTTTATAAACTTCTTTAGACACTCGTTTTTATTAAAAACTCGCTCGCAAGCTTCGCTCGTTCTTAATTAAACTCGTAACTAAAATGGCGTTTACAAAACTTGATACATAATATTCTATTAAAGCAGAATTCAGATATAAAGGCAAACATCCCGGCGCTATGCTAGCTGATTTATGTTGGTGGTTAAAACGAACCACCAATGAAGAAAAAAGTGATGATGAATTACCAGAACAAGATGAAGCAATGGATGTAGATCCAGTAGCTGGAACTTCTGGTACAACTCGTGTTAGGGATAGTTTTTAAATATAAATAAAATAGCGAATTTAATAATGTTTAGTATAAGAAGTCAATTGTTTATTTAAAAAAGTAATTTTTTCGTAGTTTTTTATACTAATATATCAAAAATATTAAAAATTGCTTTCGAAAATCACCTAGGGTAGGTATATTTCATCTTCAAAAATGGTAAAAAATACCATTTTAGCAATAAAACGTAAAAAGTAACAAAAATTGTATGATAGCATCCTTCTCTGAGGGTCTTTGGTAAAAAATTAACAACACAAATGAATTCTTCAATCAAATTGCCAAAACTATTTTGAAAAATTAACATAGTTTTACTATGGAGTGTCAAAAAATGTAATCTTTAAATGCGTACAAAAAATAACTGAGACGTGATATAAAAAAACCCTGATAGGGTTTTCTTGTGAAAACTATTAACTTTCATTAGCTTTTGGTTTTATTCCATTCCCTTTCCCAAACCTTAATTTTTTATCACAGTGTAATTAACTAGTAAATTATCAATAATAAATATTACTGTCAATTTATCAGTGCCAGAGTATTTAATTAAGGTCTTCAGCAGAAGTACCATTTTTTATATACTAAAAATACTAAATCAAACTGGTATAAACTACCAACTTAATAAAAAAACACAGTCCAAATAAAAAAAAATGACTGCATGTATTTACCTGGATCTGTCGCAACGCTGGATAATGATACGTTGTTTCTAACGTGGTTGAAAGTTTGCTGCTGAGGTGGTGGTTGATATTCTTGCTGGACCACCACATTGGTGTTCGGGAGCTCCGGCTGAGCACTGGTTGATATTTGCGACTGAAAAACAACGATTTTATCGAGCTACACACAAAAGTGATCCTTAAAATACTCACTTCATTACTTGGCATTGGTAAGGAAGATTCAGGATCTGGATCGGGACTACTTCCGGCAGAAGACTCTCCACCGCGTCTTTGCGAGTCCATGACTTGTTCAGCGATTTGGCGACCTATTTTGCTCGCTTCTATGTGAGTATTTATGAGTCTTTCCATATCTTTTCCTTTGCTTTGAGTGAAGAAGTCCAAATTTTCCTGGTAACCCTCTGTTCTTCCCGCTGTACTTTCCACCGTCCTAAAGTCACTTCTAAAAGTATAGTTAATTTGTATTATAATGCCCAAGTAGCACAACTGAGTAAATATATATAACTAACATTCTTTGGAAGTTGCATAACGGGATATTAACTTCTAATTTTAACCTTTGAAAAGTGCTGTCTAGTTATTTTTTTAAACGTTTTTCAGTTTTCATTGTTCATTGTTCATTGCATGAAAAAATTAGTCTTAAAACAGCTTTATATATTGGTCGTTTTCAAAAAACACCCGCCTTCCGCTGTCCGCAAGTTTGAATTCCAATAACTTCGTTAAAAATTATCGGATCTTATTGATTTAAAAACCAAGTGAAAGCCTAACAAGCCCTTAGTAAACTCTTTCAGAAAATTTTTGTTTAGTTATTTCAGAATATTTTTTTTTAATTTTGAAACTTGTGAAACACACATTTTCGCATGTCCCATTAGCGTTTTATAAAACTTACATACATGTTTTTTTTAAATATTGAATAACCAGAACTTTGTGTTGCTTTATAGCAATCCATAACATCCTTAGTTAATGTCCCAGACATTTTTTCCGTTGCGTCACGTTTGTCGCGTTACCGATAGAATATTAAAAAAAAACATATATATGGCAACTTTTTTAGTTTTCACGTGATCAACAAATGATGTTCGGACGTACACATTACCCAGATGCATTTATTTATTCAATCAGGAAGAAGATATCGGTTGAAACAGGTGCGGGTAACGCGAATGTAATAATTGTTTGTCCGCTAAGTTACTCAAAAAAATAATAAAAATAAGGTTAGAAAAAATACTATTTTTCATGTTTATATTTATTTTAGGGCACTAAAGCTCATTGAGAGTAATTAATGACTATAATCAAAGATAATACATCTTTGACTATAATGTCTTATTATTATTTTTTAAATATGGTTTTACAAAACTTTGTCCACTGCGTTACCGAGTCCACTATGTTACCTTATGGTAACGCAAAAGAATTTTTCGACAACAAAGTGGATATTTGCCGTCGCTTTTATTAAAAGTAGTTTATGATTAACCAATTTAAAATTATTTATAATTATAACTCATGATATAGATTACATCCAAGGAAAAATTCCACGCAATATAAAAGTACTAAAAGGGACCTTCACTAGCTTATAGTCAAAGAAAAAGGTTGTCTACAATTTAGAAATCTAAGTTGTTATTCTGAAAGTTTTTTTATGCATTACTCTAAAATCGTACCACCCTATATAGTTTCTTTTTTACGTTATCTGATCCTTTGTGTACCCCTGTCCGTTGTGATACCAATGTCTATTTCGTTACTTTTTTTAGTTTTTGTTTAAAAAAATACTTAAAATGATTTTTATACACTATCACTTGGTAATACGTGTTTATAAATTAGAGTTTAATTCACTAATACAGTGACTAAAAGAAAATATTAATGGTATTGTTTTTTTTAACAAAGAATCGGAATGGTTTCTTTTAAAAAGTAACTTAACGAACATACATATTTAAAAAAAAGCATACAATTTTTAATAAAAAATAAAATAAAAAATTGGAGTCAAAAGTTTGTGAACTAAGTACATTTTTTTTTCAAATTATTTTTATAACAACTTTTTTTATTGAATTTAATTTTGGATTTCAAATTGGTAACACAGTGGAGATATATAAAGCTAGCTAAACAAATTTTTCTGAAAAAAACTTTAAAAAAATTAAAAAGTGCACTGCCTGTCTTAAATGTAAGTAAACAAAACTCTAAACATTTATAAAAATCCAACTAAAAGTCAATTTAAGCAAAAAAAATATTTTGATCTTCATTTTCCTGAAAGCGGGTGTTTCTTGAAAATGACCCATATAAACCTATAGGTTGTTAGTTTTGTGTGATAATGAAGCCTAAAAGAAATAATTTTAAAAAATATAGACTTTCTTCAACTTACTATAGAAGAGTTAACAAAGTTTGTAAATCATTATTTATCTACAAATCTTAAAACAGTCCCCTCACTTTTAATTAATTTGGTAATCTATAGGTTTTATCACGGAACAGATGCGTTTTATAAAAACAAAGCAAACTAAAATCAGAACGTAAGATCGACGAAAATTTTTTCGGTTATTTAATTAATTTAACTTATTTTGGTGCAGGTTATTTATACTATTTTATGTTTAAAAGTATTTTAAATCAATTTTAAACGAAATAAAGAAAAAAATAGACAAAAACAATTTAACGTCAATTTAACCAGTTGTGTCACTTGGGATATTTTGGATATGAATTTTAAGTATTTTGACGTAAATAAAGATTTTTCACTTACAAAACTAGGTTGTTCTTCGCAATCAGATACTCAATTTCTTTGGTCCAAGGGTTCTTGAAGGCCTTCCACTCGCTCTGCAGTCGTACGAATCCGCCATCCTTCGTTCTGAATCGGTAGACGTTCGTGTTCACTCGCTCGGTGCTCTGCAGCGCGACCTTGTGGCACTCCGCTATCGCGTGGATGTCATCGTGATGGTAGTACTCGTACATGCTGGAGCCTAGGAGTTCTTGAGGAAGGAAGCCTAGGACTAGAGTGGCCCTAAAAAATATCAAACGGTGGGTTGACGAAATAAAAGAGTCAATCCAAATGAAAACACCAAAAGTGAATTTAAAAGTGCGCTGCATGTTTTTTTATTTTAATGAAAAAATTTGAGGATGATCTCTTAGGTATCATATATGAAAAACCGTTGCCGTTTTAATTTTTAGTTGCTTTATCTTTAATCGGCACCCTTTAGAAACCTGAAATCGTGTCATTTTCTTACTCTCTTATAAGAGGCTAAAACTTTTTTTCTGTGGCAATTATTGAAATGATTGTAATTTTATTTTACTGCCTAGTAAGTATGTTTTTAATATTAATTATTATTATCTAATTAGTTTATCTCATAAAAGAATGGTGAACCACTAAAGATTTGAATAATTTGCCAATTTTTGTGATTTTTGTCTGGCTCCTGTGCCTATTCTGCTAAATCTAGAAAGTTGCTTTTTTTTCAGGTATCAAGTACTTATACAACAGAAAACGTAACTATTATTTTAAATTTTCTATACTATCATTTTCTTTATTAAAAAAATTATTGAATCTTGATAATTTTCAAAATTAGCCAATTTTGCCCTCAGAAATCATTATGTTGAGGAAAAAATAAAAATGTGAAACTTTCAGGAAATGTAGTCCCCACCTTCATCTTTTCAGTCTAGTTAGTCCATGTAAAAGATATAATAATTTTTTAATGCAGTTAAGAAGCGATATTGTTAGTTTTATTTTTAATTTAAAATTTAGATGGCTTTGACTTAGTCAATTCATGTTTGGTAGAGAAATGTCAGAACTGTCAAAAATATTTCATAAATATTATTTGTGCGTATTTAAATTGTGATTTCAAAAAGTTTGCAAGTTTGCAAGTGTAATAAATGACGGAGTGTTCGAGATTCATGAATTTAATTGCAATTAAAAATGCAAGAACATATCATAATTTTGTACCTCTTTCTTATAGAAAATATTCACTCTCTAAAAATGAATTAGTCAAAAATGACTAATTTAATAGTTATTAGTGGCTGCTTTTTCACTTGTACTCTGGTTAACCATGGAATACCATGGTATTTAAAAATTTAATTATTAAGTAAAATTGTCCCCTGAATCCGAAAATATCGTCAAAAGTTAAAAAAGTGAAACAGTTTTTGAAATATTGTCAATTTTCTATTTAATATGGATTTGACTATATTTCAAAAACTGCTCCACTTTCATAATTTTCGGATTCAGGGGACAATTTTACATAAGAATTGGCTGTTAAATTTTTGGATACCATGGTATTCCATGGTTAACCATGGTACAAGTGAAAAAGCAGCCACTTATAACTATCAAATTAGTCATTTTTGACTAATTCATTTTTAGAGAGCAAGTTCTGAGAAGTTTTAAATTGTTAAAAATAAGGAAAAACCAAAAAATATTCTAAATAAACTTCTTTATTATAACATGTTTTATTTTAACCAGTTACCTAAAAACTAAAATTTAAAGAAGTATTTACAGATTGTGTAACACTAACATTTAAAATACATACATATAACTTTTAACTATTTAGTGACTTACTAAAGGGATCTGTCAAAGAAACCGACAAAAAACTGCTTAACGCATTTTTTATACGTTTAAATTAACTCTTTATTAATTTCACTTATTATACTTAACGATATAAACCATAAGGATCTTGAATATATTTTTTATATTCTTCTTCTTTAAACACCAATTAGCCAATTAAATACTCCATTATAATGTATATAATATATAATCATATATATTATATATTAGGGTGTTTCATTTAAAACGAAAAACTTTTTTTCTTGCTGACCCATGAAAATTTTGTTTTTTAGGTTGAAAAAAAATTCCCTGAAAATTTGAGCCCTTAACTTTGATTCTCTTTTTAATTTTGTAATTTTTCCATATAAAAAGCATGTATTTTTAATCATTTTTAATTTAAATTTTTATATTTTGGCCGGGTTTTGAATTATAATTTTTATCACCATAATTTCCTGCATAGTATTCACGGTTTTTGAAAGGCCCTGCATCAATTTTGTTTTTGATTAATTTACGTTGATTGTAGTAGCTCCAAAAGTCGTTTTTTTCACTTTTTTTCACATATTTTTGAGAAAATCGAGCGAATGACTGGTTTTACCGAAAAAGTTCAAATAAAAAAGTTGTAGGAAATTTAATTTTTGACAAAGTTTTTTTTTATCAAAATAAAAAATCAAGTATAGCTATAGCGCACCCCATTTGGTGTTTTTATTTGGAATGACTCAAAAGTGAAAAACTCACCTTTGGTCCACGAATAGAAACTTCCCGTCCAACGCGTGCCTCGATACGAACTGAACGGACCTGACGTTAGGTCGGTTCTGCGTGGTGGCCGCGACGGTGGAGACGTGCGGCAGAATCCTGCCGATGGCCACCAAGCAGGACAAGTTGCAGGACTCTCCGTCGCCTTCTTCCTGCTCCTCCAAACCTATCTTCGCAGGGGCCCAGGATTTCAGGTATCCTGGAGGAAAATATTGTTTTGAACGTTCCCTTTTACAATGGGGCCTTTCCATCTCAAATCGAAGGCGAAAAGGGGTTGGTCACAATTTTTTTTAAGTTCTAGGTAAATGTTTACTTCATACAAAAATATAAGAAATTAAGTGAATTCACTCATTTTTTTTTCTAAAATAGGCAAAAAATTGAGGTCAAAATTTAGATATTGCAACATTTTTTTTACTTCATTTTATTTCGTTTGAAGTTTATATTATGAACAAGTTGTTCAGAACAACTTTCACCAAAAGCAGAGTTGGCTAAATTGTTATTTTTTAATGATAATACCATTTTCTAGTAAATTCGTGGTTCATCGCAAAAATTTGGTGTTTTTTATCTAGGGTCATGAAAGTGTAATTTAGAACTTCTTGACATATTTAACATATTTTGTTACTTCCGGTTTCGCCGGAAATGGTCTTAACTTTTTATTTTTTAATGAAACACCCTATGCATTTTTACATATTTCGATTCAAAATAAAATTCTGAATACATACGAGGTGTGTTCAGAAAATATCGGGAATATTAGTTTTTTGAAACAAATATTTATTTATTCGTCTACATTAATGTTGTCGCCTTCAAAAGAGTCCCCATTGGATATTATGCACATGTGCCAGCTCTTCTTCCAATACTCGAAACACTTCTAAAACTCGATCTTTGGGATAGCCTTTAGTTCTTTCAGCGATGCGCTTTTAATGTCATCTATGCTTGCAAAACGACGGCCCTTTAAGGTTCTCTTTATTTTTGAGAATAGGAAAAAGTCAGACAGAGGCATGTCTGGCGAATATGGAGGCTGGTGCATCATTACAGTATTGTTTTAGGCCAAAAATTTGTTCAAAATTTAACAATTTTGGAACAAATTTTGCTGCCACGCGTTTCATACCCAAAACATTCGAAAAAATTGTATGGGATGAGCCAATCGATATACCAACATCATCAGCGACTTCTCTGATGGTTTATAACCATTTCTTCCACTTTTTCCATGTTTTTATCGGTTGTTAATGTGCTTGTGCGTTCGGGGCGTTCGTCATCTTCAACGTTTTCACGGCCATCTTGGAAACTCTTATACCACTTGTAAACTCTTGTTTTACTTATAGCAGACTTACTATAGGCCTTTGTTAACATTTCACAGAATTTATTTAATTTTTTAAGCAAAATTGGATACAAATTCTTAGATCTATTTCTTTTAACGAACAAAAAATCGCCGAGCTTATAAAACACGTCTAACCTTAGCGGCTGCCACAGACAAAGTAAACAATGAAAACAGCTAAAGTTTTTATCATAGTTGGGGGGCGTGTATACCAACATAATAAAGACAATTTTATGACAACCGGACACTCTGAACCTGCGAAATTTAACAATTCCCGTTATTTTCTGAACACACCTCGTACATTTTTCATTTGTCAATTTATGATAGGTCAAATAATTTTTTAATTAAATTTTATTTCTATATCCAGAGTGCATTGAATTGGCTTTTCTGCTTCATGTTGGGCCAAGTAGTCTGGAAAAAATACAATTTTATATTTTTATCTATTTTGCGTTCATAATGACTTCATTATAACACCGCTTTCGGTGCTATACTTTAAACTTTAGAAGCTTTTAAAAATTGAAACACCATATTATTTACCAAAATTATTTAAAAAAAAAACACTTTTTTCTAAATTTGATAGGTACCAAATATTAATGCATTTTTTAATAATATCGCTTTTAAACTCTTATGACCCTAGATAAAAAACCAAATTTTTGCGATGGACCACGAATTTACATTAAAAAAATAACAATTCCGAAATGACAAATTTAGCCAACTCGAGACTTTTGGTAAAAGTTGTTCATATTATCAACTTCAAACGAAAAAATATGAAGTAAAAAAAAATGTGACAATGTCAAAATTTTGACCTTAATTTTTTTCTCTTTTTTAGAAAAAAAAACAATTAAAAAAAAATTAATAAATTCACTAAATTTAAAAAGAGCCTGGTCGATTTAAAAAGGAAAGACCCAATGTTTTCATAATATACCTGTGCACTGTATGACGTTGTATTTTTTATCCGAATTGTGTTGCTTTTTTCTTCTGTGGGACCCAGTGGTGGTATCAGCTTCTTCTTTTATTTGCGAAGACATTTTGCATTTCATCCGGCAAAAAAATGAGCGTCTCGCGCCCGGCACGAGACGGGAGCCTCCCTGAGGTACATCTGTTTTTACTGGTAACATTGCTACAAAAAAATCAAAATTTTATGCAAAAATAATGCAAATATGTGTTTTTCTTACTTTTGGCATCGATCAGTCTTTCTTTTGGATGGAGATCTGAGGAGGAAAGCTGTTCCTTAACTTTGGCCACGTCTTTGGGGTGAATTATGTCGAATAAACTTTGACCCAGGAGGTCACCCTGAAAACAGTCGAGGAAAAATGGCAAATGCGCTTTTTACAGCAACAAGAAAATGCTGGTGAGTCATGTAAGCTTACTTATAAGGTACAAATGTAATAAATATTAAATTTATAAAAATTATAAGAATTTTTATTTAAATACTGGAAAATAATACCTTAATTATACGTGCCATAATTAATTTTGTGTTCACATAAAATTAATGCACTGAGTTTTTGTTTTGTAATTAAAATTATGACTAGATAATACAAATTTAAGAATCAATTTTATGTGTACAGATAAAATTATATAATTAATTGTATGTCTACACATAAAATTAATTTGGCGCTGCGAAAGTGCGGCCGAAAGTGGCAACTGCAGTAGTTCAAATAGTAGGTAGATTATATTTATCTACGTCTTGTAATTATATCACAAAACTAAAACCTTCTATAGTTTTGTAAATTATATACATTAGGGTGGTCCTTAGCTATAGAGGTAAAAGATATACTTTTAATATTGAATTGTCCCACCCCCCCATTTTGTTATAACACAAGAGAAAAAAAATTACACAAAAATTTGAATGGCCAACTCAACCCCTTCACGTGCCTGTGAGGGGTTGAATTTTGACAAAATCCCCAACTTTTAAGGTTTTTGCCATTTACTCCGCAAAAATCGCATATCTCAAAAAATTTTACTCATTAAAATCTTTTCGTCTATTAAAGGTCTATAAAAATTGTCTCCTGAGATTTTATCCTAGAAAGCACCATTTCGTGGAAAATTGCATTTGTGCATAATTACCACAAATTTAAGGTTTGAACCTAAAAGTAAGTCAAATCCAAGACAAACTAAAACAAAAAACGCCAGACGCGTGATCAGTCGTTTGCAGGTGGATAGAACGGTTCTTATTGGGCGATTCAAGGTTGTGAAGCGTGCCGAAAATTCTTGCCAGGGCCGCATTATGTCCATCGCGGTTATTAATAGCGTATTGTTTGATTACTTCCTTGTTTTCGCGGCTTTCATCTTTGTGGTTATTTTTGTTATTGTTTTATTATTAATACTTGTTATATAACGTTATTTGTTGTTATTGTTGTTGTTATTGCTATCATTGTTTTGGTTATTTGGTTTTTATTGTTATTATTATTATTCAATTAAGTGCGATGTCTAGCACAGACGAAGCTGAACATTTTGAGGACTTAAGCCCAGTTAAAAAACGGTCTAAAAGAAATCACTTAAGTGTGGAAATAAAAGAGGTTATTATAAATGTTTTCATTAAACTTTAATTATTAAAGTTTAAAACAATAAATTTAAAACAAATCAAAAATTTCGTGAAGTTAATTTAAAAAATATAATTTTCGTAAAAAATTTAAAAAGTTTACATTAAAGTTTAAAAAAATAAATTTAAAATAATAATGAAATTATTTCCCAAAATTTTGTTAATTTCGTAATTTAAAAAATATAACTTTTATAAATATTTTAACACCTTTCCATCAAAGTTTAAAAAATAAATTTAAAATATTAAATGATCAATAATATTGATTCAATATATTTTAATACGGCCCAGTGCAACAATTTTCGTCGATCACGTGAATAGAGCATGGACAACGCATGATTGTGTTTATGTCGAGTTCGGCTTGGATTTGACTTGACTTTTTTTTTTTTAGGTACGAAATAATAATAATAATAAATGACGCAAATATTAATTCAAGTAACAAAATAATATGTAAAATGTAGACATAATAATAATTCGCTATTTTTCCTATCTGTTTCCATTAAATTTGAATTAAATTTATGTTTGACATAATTTTATTTAATTATTATTAGGTCAAACATAATTAAAATCGTAAAAAATTATATATTTCATAATTTAAAAAAACTACTTTAATTTTCTTTTTATTTAAAACTTTTACGATTAAAAAGTGAAATGGTGTGCCATACCAAGTAATTTTTAAAAACCAAAAACTAAATAGGTATTGTTAAAAAATAGAGAAAAAAATTGTATTGAAGATATACGAATGTGACGTCACAGCTTAACACCTTGCAATGGAAAATATGAAACGCTTTTAAACGGAGAGCATGAAGTCGCAAAGGTTACATAATTTATTTTGGATAAATACCTATATAATATGGGTTATAAACGATTTTAGGTTGTTAAATGATTTATTGAAAAATTTACTTTCGATTGAATGAATAATTGAAAACTGCCCTACCATGCATAAATTTAAAAACAATATTTAAAAAATCGCACAGTATGCCTACTGCGCTGTTACTTTATGACGTTTTAGTCACGGGCTAAAGTTATAAACAGTTGCTTTTCGGCATTTTAGTCACGGGCTGAAGTTGACTTTATTAAAAATTGGGAAAAAGTAAGGTTAAATTCGAGTGACAGTTGACAGATGTCAAATTTTTTACAAATAAAATTGGCTTTAAATTCTCTTTTGTGTTCGTCGTAGATAAAGTATAGTATGCAACAGTGGCGGCTCGTAAAAAAAACAAAGCAAAGAAAATATCAAAGCAATCTTAACCCAAATTGCGAAACTCAAAAACATAAAAAAAATTAATACTTTAAAATATATATCTGGAACTTAACACGATCTGCCATCCACCACATCTTCAGTCATGTGATATAAAACCACCAATTAGAGCAAGAACAAAATTTACAAAAATTTAAAAATTACCAAAATCTTTAAAATAACAAACAATTCAAAAATAAAAAAAAATTATAAAATTTCCAAATTTATACGTAAACATTTCCAATTTTTTTTAATTTTTCACTATTGTAAGCACAGTGGTCTGTGGTCTGTGATTGTAAGTATTTAATATCTTTTTTAAAATTAAAAAAATGGCGAATGCGCCGAAACAAATGGCGAATGCGCCAATAATATTTTTACCTGTGAAAAATTGAGTACTTTGGCAACAGACTCCGAAACATAAAGGATCCTGCCCCTATCACAGCCAACGACAAATAAAAATCCATCTGCAGCCTAAAAGCACACAAAACGAAAATAATTAATTTACGAAGTTTATTACATCGCCGCCGGCGATTAATTCATATACCGTTATAATGCCACTATGAAATTATAATACGAATCGCTATTTTAATCATTACTTTCACTTGCAGCAGTAAAACCATGTCAAGTTTAAATGTTAACCGGGTTTAAGAATGCGAATGCAGGTAGAGTTTTTATAGCGGCTCAATGGTCTAGGGGTATGATTCTCGCTTTGGGTGCGAGAGGTCCCGGGTTCAAATCCCGGTTGAGCCCATTTTTTTTTTCGATTTAAAATTTTTAATCCAATTAATTCTATTTTCTAAAAAATAATGCTATTTTCATAAATTGTATATTTTATTGTCTCCAATGAACTAGTAATTTATCTGGTTTTTTATTTTAAAATTAGCAAATACTGTTTTTACTTATTACTTTTAAAGCATGATACTACATGTAGTATCATGTTTTAAAGTCACTGACTGCTAATTTTTATTAGTAATATTGTTTACAAAACACTTACCTAATTAGTCAACAAATTGTTTTTAACAATCTAAAAAATTGACTCAATTAATTTTTGAACAATCACATATTACGTGGTAACCATAGATACCGTCAACTCACCCGTCACAGGTTTCTTGATATAATAATATTTAAAATTTTAGAAATTGTTAAATATCTCTGAACTTAGGTATAGGGAATAGTTACAACAATCAAAGGGTTTTTTAATTTATTATTTGATTAGGTAGAAATATACCGGGTGTATTTAAAATAAAAAAGTTATTAACGTTTCAAGTTATTCTAATTTGCCCTGGGTTTTTTTCAGGTAATTTGTTGAAAAGTGTAAAGGAGTTGACATGGAATATTTTAAACAATGTTTTAAGATTCCAAAAATTTCACACCATATCCACAAACCTATTATAAAGTTTTAGGCTATTTTTGATTGACGCGCGTTTGTCAAATTTTAACGAAAAAAATAACTCGAAAACTATTCTACTATGGTATAGTAATTTTACTCAGAATTTTATGTTGAATTTAAAAAATTTTATGTTGAATTTAAAAAATTTTATGTTGAATTTAAAATATGTAAAAATATTAGGGGTGTTCTATTTGAAATAACAAAGTTGATGTCACTTCCGGTTAAACCGGAAGTGGCATTCGATTTAAAACCACGAATATGATCACTAGGGTGCTTCATTTTTAAGCAACATTTTTTTTTTCAAAGTCCCACCTAAAAATTTTGTAACCGGTAAGAAAACAAAAATGTTGAGCTATTACAATGCTCTTAATCTTTATTTTAAGCCGTTGCTATTCAATTTTTAAATATTTCCCTTTAAAAACCATTAAAAAACAATGTTTTATTCTTTTTTCCTTCCGCTCGTACAGTAAGAATATTTTTTTCGAATTTCGGTTCTAAAATCTTTATACAGGATGAAATTATCTTCAAAAATGTCCATTTAAGCAAGTCTGTAAGTTGAATATGTTCTTCACAAATTGTCGTTCTACTCGAAAATCTTCTAAAATAGCAGTAAATCGTATTTGGAGACTAAACTATTGATTCTAGATAAAAAACGTAAATAATAATTTTGTAGGGAATTTTTCGCCCTACAAATTTGTTAAGAATTATTTTTCTGTATCACTCAAAGTTTAGCTTGTACAGCCACTCTTTCACGTAACTCTAATAGTATAGTTATTACAGTCGTCAGAAAGAATTTGACACTTAGAGTGGCTGTACCAGCTAAACTTTAAGTGATACAGAAAAATATTTTGTAACAAAATTGTAGGGCACAAAATTCCCTACAAAATTGTTATTTACCTTTTTTATCTACAATCAAAAGTTTAGTCTCCTAATACGATTTACTGCTATTTTACAAGATTTTCGAGAAGAACGGCAATTTGTGAAGAACATATTCAACATACAGACTTGCTTAAATAGACATTTTTGAAGATAATTTCATCCTGTATAAAAATTTTTGAACCAAAATTTGAAAAAAATATTCTTACTGTACGAGCGGAGGGAGAAAAGAATAAAACATTGTTTTTTAATGGTTTTTAAAGGGAAATATTTAAAAATTGAATAGCAACGGCTTAAAATAAAGATAAAGAGCATTGTAATAGCTCAAAATTTTTGTTTCTTGATCGATTACAAGATTTTCAGATGGGACTTTGAAAAAAAAAATGTCGCTCTAAAATGAAGCACCCTAATGATCACCCTATAAATATAAATTTATATACAGGGTGAGTCATTTAACTTGAAACTTTGAAATATCTCAGTTGGTATGCATTTTACCAAAACATGTTTAAAATAAAAATTAAATTATTCGAGGGGGGAAATTAACCAGTACTAAAATTGGGGGAACATGAGGTAACTTTTAAATTTCCAATGGAACACCCTATTTTTTATTGCAGATTCGGATCACTCGGGGCCATTCCACGCGTAACGGATAGGACAGTTGCCGTGTTTTTATTTACAAAATAATATTGTTCTATTATATTACCAATGTCAAATTTTTATAAATAGTTCTAAACAAAAGCTGTTTAACAAGGTTTTTATTTGGCAAAATTAGGTATCGTGATCGACTGTTTAATTCCTTAAAAATTAATAATTTAAAGCGTAACGGACGGGACTATTACAAAGTTTGCTTTTGGTTATGTTTTTTTATACATTCCAAGTTAGAGGAAATGCAATATGAAAGAATTACAATTGCATCTAGTCTAATAGTATATGCATTGAGTAAAGAAGTTCTTTACTCAATGGTATATGGATGATTTGTTGTCCCTACGCTAGGTGGTGACAGTCCATGGAGTTGACTTTAAAGCGTTTAAGCAAATTCAAATTAATAAAATAAATAATGTTTTATTTTTTTGGTTAAGTACGTTCTACTGCTAGACATAAACTGTCTATTATAGTTTTATTTAAATGCTAACTACTTTCATTAGTATATTTTATTTAAGAGTTTCAGCATATTTGCTCCGTTCTGGAGAATCACCCGTATACGATTCTGCAATAATTTTTCTATAAAAATATTACTTTTTTTGGTAATAATTTTCTTTTTAAATTAAATCTGAGTTTTTTAAGTACCCACGATTTTTTAACTAAAATTTAAGTTTACTTTGGTTTCAGTTTTATACATTATTTTATTTGGTGATAATTATCAATCGCGCACCATGGTCACTTTTTACCTGCCAGCTTTAAATCCTTTAACTTAAAGGATTATTGTACTATTTTTAATAAAAATACCTCATTTAAGTAAAAAAATCATTATTTTGTCAATTAATTAATTTAATCCTAATTGAGGTATAAAAAATGGTATTTTGTTATAACAAATAACAATATATAAATAATAATTATTATTTAGGTATAAAGAAACTATTTATACATAGTTTAGCATTATTTAATCAATTTAGTTCGAAGATTAATCTGCATTATGGAGAAGCAGGCAGGAATCTTGATGATGCTGTTAATATCTACGCTCAGCGTTTTCCGGAAAACATTCGACCGTACAGTCAAGCAGTTTACTATAAACGGGAGTGTTCAACCGAAAAAAAGAGTTCGTCGAGCAAATATTTAATATTGATATTTTAGTACTGTTTGAATCATTTAATTTTTATTTTAAACATTTTTTCGTAAAATGCAAACTAACTGAGATATTTCAAGTTAAATGACTCACCCTGTATACCGGGTGTATCTGAGAATAAGCGCACCCCTGTTTATATATAAGAGTACAAAATGAGTTTTTTGAACCGGAAAAACCGGAAGTTCAAAAAATTCATTGTGTACCCTTAAAAGTGGAATTTTATATCCTAATTAAGCATGCTAAATTTCATGTGTCTACTTTTATAAATAAAAAAGTTACGAGGGTGCGCCTATTCTCAGATACACCCGGTATATATAAAAATTTCGTTCTCTATAAACATCTAATAAATAAGTTAGGTGAATCACCCTGTATACAGGCTGTATACCTATAGGTATATATATTTTTATAATAACTGATTTATTTATTAATATTATTGTTACAGTTGTTAACACTCCTATTTTAAATCACACCTAGCTATATCAAAAAACATGAATCTTGATTCAAGGCATTTGGTAAATGCCATTTACTAGATACTACTACTACTCGTATTTGTTTTAATTGTTGAAAGAAATAATTAAATTTAAGTGCCTCTGAAAAAGTTCTTACCTGTAAAATAAGCATTTTTAATTCCTGGTCGGACAGAAAGGATGGTTTGTATTGTCCTTCAGTATAGGAATGGACAGCCCCCCTTATGGTTTTTAAATGCTGAACTGCCATCCTGAGAACGGTTAATTTATCTAACTTTCTGGACATCGCGTGACACATGGGGACCATGGCTGATAGCTCTGTGATGTAGGTGTTCATCTTGTCTCTTCTGCGTTTTTCTATTTCGCTATGATTTTGTCTTGAAAGAAAAGAAAGATATTTATAAAATTGTTCATCAAGTTTTTAGACTTTTAGTTTTGTTTTGAGTTTCCAGTTTCGTCTCCGATAAACTTCAATGTTATTAAATAATAAACAAGTCAACATAACATTATCAATTTATTTCATAATGATTGAATAATAACGGTAACACATTCTCATTATGCGAAGGTTTTAACCTTCCTTCCCGAGAGTAAATGCATTTTTCAAGACATTAAGCAGTTAGTTGCTACACTGAGCGATACAAATTGTATGCGTTATAACTTGATGCTGCACAATGATAACACCACAAAACGGACAGGTTTACTTTCATTTACATGTGTACGTGTAATTAACTACTAAGCAGTTATGCGGAAAATGGATCATAAGTTGGTATACAACTGTGGACACTTTTTGGTACAAGGTGCCAATTGCTCCCTATAGGAGTTATAGGAAGGAAAATAAAGGTTCTACACAACAAACGGAAAAATATAGAATTGTATAGGATGACTCCCCGTTTGAATACTAAATCTTAAAGTTTTATCAGAACTGTATTGAATCGTGCTTTGTTTTTATATTTTTCGCCTCTATACCTATGCATGCACGACTATAGTTAAAGTCAAACTCAATGGTGTCTTGCAAGATACATTATTTTGATTTTCTATATTCAACAGAGATGTAGAAACTCGACCCTGTCGAATGGTGCAGTCATTTATGTCTCTAGAAATTATTGAAAAAGGGTTCAGTCCAATGGTGTAGCAACTTCGGATTCCTATTCTCTTCAGAGACATAGAAACTCAAGCTTTTCGAATTTTACTGGCAATGATTTTCGTTAATGTCCCTGAGAATTATACAAAACCAGCGCAATGCAATATCGCAATTGTTTCGACTTCTCTTTACTCTACCAAGTTATAGAAACTGGAGTCTCTCTAATACTGTTCTAGTCAATATTTCTAAGAGTATAAAAAGAGGGTGTAATTCAATATTGCAAGAAGTTTTGATCTTTTGATGGATGCAAGTAGTTTGAATATTCCCATTTCTGCATATGATTTTGTTGAAAGTAGTTCCTTTCTTTGGTTCCTTTGTCTGATTTTTATTTACCGTAACAACTCAGGTATGTAAAGCACAGAGGATATGATGTAAAGTATATTTATGTATTATATATAGTACCTATATTTGTATTAAAAATTTCAGAGGTTATGTTAAAAAAATGATCGATATGCTATTAAACTTTAAAAATTTAGTAATGAGGTCTGTTGGTAGACCCTGCACATCTCCACTGGTAGTTTTATGTTAGTTCAGCAATATTTAAATCAGGTTGATCAAAAAGTACACACCAGTGCAGGTTATTGTAGCATCTACGAACAAATGAATGAATGGCCCATTGGCAATTATTCCTTTAGAAAAAATATTCAACACAGCTTAATTAATTAATAAAATGAAAAAAATCACAATCATGTTGTGTATAGTTTTTTTTTCAAGCATAAAATAATTTTCATATTAATACTAGTTCAAAAGTCAAATTAGGACCTCTATACTGTGGAGAGTGACGAATACAACTCTATACCGTGGCGAGGGTTTAGAAAACTGTATTCAAACGTGGCGTCATCCAATACACTTCTATATTTTTCCGTTTGCTGTGTAGGGTAAAGTAGACAGTTGTCGGAACTTTATACTTTTAACATACCAACGGTGGTCAAAACTTAAGTATAGGACGAACAAAAATGCCAACCAAAACTGATAGCATATTTTGATTATAGACCCTTTTGGTAACACTAACATGTATACATACTTTAAAATAGGATCAGCTGGGATTTTGATAAATATATTTATCAAAATCCCAGCTGATCCTATTTTAAAGTTTTGCAAACTTTTTTGTTTTTCTATTTCTATATATTATTTTGCAATTATTGTACTAAAACTACCAGTACAATTTTAATAAAATTAAGCAAAATAATAAACTTTGTATCATTTAAATTACTTTACTCCCCAGTATTAATTTATTGAGTCACCTATTATTTTTTACCACTCAAAACAAAACATAACAAAAAAAAACGAAGATTTATATCTTAAATATTTTTTATAACAAAAAATACTGGAAGTTTGTCTATGAAATAATTACAACTTGCAAATTTTGTAAAACAATAATTAAGATGGTTATGAAAAAAAATTGCTCCACGTTATAACGCAAGTGACATTTTGCTTTATTTGTTTATTTAATGTATACTTTATAAAGTTAAAAATAGTATTTTAAAATGAAAATTAAACCAAAATTCAAGTTAAGCCATGAAGAAAATCGGAAGAAGGTATGTGCTGGCTGTGGACACAAAATTGTTTTTGGTAATCGAAAAATTCAGAGTTTAGGGTGTCTGAGAAAATATAAAAATTACTGCAGACTTTTTCAAACGAACACTTTAACTTAAGTGATTCAAAATTACCTACTTCAATATGGTAAAAACGGTATTTTTGCATAGCCACAATTGCCAAATTTTAAAGATATAAAGGGCATAAAAAATTATTAAGGAAAGAGGACGGACGAACGAACTAAAGTTTTGATATGCTCTTCCTTTCTTTAATAAAGGATCAGCTGGGATTTTGATAAATACATTTTTGTGTTACCAAAAGAGTCTATAATCAGATTATGCTATCAGTTTTGGTTGGCATTTTTGTTCGTCCTATACTTTAGTTTTGACCACCGTGTACCACCCGAAAAAATATTAGATATACAAGGTGTCCCTAAACTTATTGGCATAATTATAACTTAAGTTTAGGAAAAGATTGAGCAAGTAAAAATTATGTTTCCAAGATAAAGGGTGATAAAGTGTTACTTATCATATCAGTTTTTTTAATATAACTTCTACTATGGTAGTCCTGTAAAGGTGATATTTATTCCTCTACCATAGTAGAAGTTCTATTAAAAAAACTGATATGATAAGTAACACTTTATCACCTTGTATCTTTTAAACACACTTAATTAGGAAAAAAAATATATATATATATATATATATATATATATTTATATATATTTAAATAAACAAACTATCCTTTTTATATATTTATTAGAAAAAAACTGAAATATTTAAAACAACGGCATATATAAATTTTAAATAAATAATATTCCTTAAGTGTCCAATATCTACCTTTAAAGAATATAATATAGTGTTAAAACTAATTAATATTTTTATTGGTGGTTATTTAAACGAATTTTTGCCACTTTTAACGTCAAAAATCTCATAAAAAAGCTATGTTTACAATACCAGATACTTATAGTTGCAGTGGGCGTTGCTGGCAAAAATGCACTCGTGACATTTTAAAACGGCCTAGAAAACGAAACTTTTACGGTAAATGCAAATCCCGATCACCTTGAACTCGTGCAGGGCTTCTTTAATTGTTACGTCACCCCCCTCCCCCTGAAACGGACACCTAATCTCCGAACTGACATAATAACAGTTTTACTTCAACTATCGTAGATAAAATTGAGGCAGTCTTATATTTGAAATAAAGCCTCCAAATTGAAATTTTTGTATAACTGTGTAGCCTTGTCTTGTTGATTTAACCAGGATCTACGCAATGTGGAAATTTTTGAACATCTCCAACTTGTTTACATTTATAATTTTACAGTTAACTATTTTTTAATTATTCACTTATGGTTTTCTAGAATAATTTGCATATTTATTATTAGTTACCTACCATAAAGAAGGATCTAAATGTGCTTATACAGATTACTATTACATTACATTAAATACGCAATCCTAATTTAAAATTGCAATTACAGATATAATATAAAATCTATTAATAAAAATATCTTAAGGAATTTATAAAATGTTAATAAATAAATAAACCTAAAACTTACTTTTTATTTTCGTCGTTTGTCTTAACTGATTTTATATCCTCTCCATTATCTTCCTCCATATCACTTGTGTCACTGAAAAAAAACAGAAATGTAGATTTTCTTTGACCTCACATACCATCTTCCACTTGTCCAATAAAATCAGATTGCATGTCGCTATAAATGCGTTGAATGGTAGGTAGATTAAAAAAATGCCTTCGAAGGACAAAATATGATTTTTAGATCTATCTATGTAGGTACAAAGACATGCACGATTGCCTTTATTGAAAGCCAATCAAATAGTAACATTGTTCGACAAAATTAAACTTTATTTTATAATAGGGGTCCCTTAAAAATACAATTTTAGTTTTAAGTGCTGCTACCACTTTTGATAAAATTTACAAAATTCTGTAATTTTATTCATCCACTTTATTTTGTTAAAATTTTAACACCATCAAATCAAAATTGGCAACATGAACTAAAAAGAACCCCACTAGTCAAATTTTTTATTTAAGATGAAGATAAATTAAATTTTTTTTAAAAATATTTCGTAATGAGGTATCACTCGACCCTTTAAAAATTGTAGGAGGGCCTTTCCATCGTTTTAAATTGTAGGTAAAAAAGTGAATTAAATTCTTTTTTCTAAAAATGGCAAAAAAGGTTTTAAACTTTGTGCAGAAGAAGTAAATAAATTAAGAAGGCTTTGAAACTTTGTGTTTAAAAGAAGCATAAGATTTGATAGTCCGTTAGTTTGTTTTGCTGTAAATATTAACATTTTATTTTACTATAAAAACATACGCTAGAACTTTTTATAAAAAAAATAAAAGTAATAATTGAGGGGTTTAAGTAATTGCTCAACATTTTTTTGGTTTTAAAACCACTGAATAAAATCATTCAAATATTTTAAAACGATTTTAAAAAGTTATATCTAACCGCCCCATATATATACAGGGTGAGTCATTTAACTTGAAATTTTGAAATAACTCAGTTAGTATGCATTTTACGAAACAATGTTTAAAATAAAAATTAAATTATTCGAGGGGGGAAATCAATCAGTACTACAATTGGTCCTTATACTCTCCTTCTTATAGGGGAAACATGGGGTAACTAAAATTTCCAATGGAACACCCTATTTTTTTATTGCAGATTCAGATCATTCGACTAAAAATAGGTAGATTTAGTCTAAAACATTTTTTCATATTTGTAATAGATGGCTGTAATGAAAAAAAATCAATTATGTTCGATTTTTTAAATTTATTTATTTATTTTTTAAATTTTAGTTAAAAAAAAAAACTCTTTTTTTCGGTTGAACACTCCCGTTTGTAGTAAACTGCTTGACTGTACGGTGAAATAAAGTACGTGATCGAATTTTTCCTGAAAAACGCTGAGCGTAGATATTAACAGCATTATCAAGATTCCTGAAAACTTCTTCATAAATCAAACAACATTCTAAATGAAAAGTTTATATAATGATATCAAGATAAATGGGGACATCCTAAAAGATTACAAGCTTAAATAATGACAAGCTTAAGTGATGACCATATAAATGATAACAAGCTAAAATTACGACAGGCCAAAATAAAAACATGATAAATGAGGACATGCTTAAATAATGACAAGCCAAAATGATGAAAAGTTAAAATTTTAGCAAGACATAATGACATCCTAAATGACGACAAGCTAAAATGATGACAATCTATAATTACAAGCTTATTTAATGATACCAAGATAAGTACATTCTAAATTATTACAAATTTAAATAAAGACAATCTAAAATGACAACAAGCTAAAAGGACATGCTAATATGATGAAGAGTTAAAATGATGACATTATAATAACATCCTTGACTGTACGGTGAAATGAAGTACGTGATCAAATTTTTTCCGGAAAACGCTGAGCGTAGATATTAACAGCATCATCAAGATTCCTGCCTGCTTCTCCATAAATCAAAATCATTTCTATTTTTTCTTCCACTGTTAAAAAATCCATTATGAATAAATGCTTAACGAAAGGAGGTCTTTTTGTTTGCAAATTAATCTTCGAACTAAATTGATTAAATAATGCTAAACTATGTATAAATAGTTTCTTTATACCTCAATAATAATTATTATTTATAACTAAATAACATTTTTTATACCTCAATTAGGATTAAATTAATGAATTGACAAAATAATGTTTTTTAACCTTAAATGAGGTATTTTTATTAAAAATAGTAAAATAATCCTTTAAATTAAAGGATTTAATGCTGGCAGGTAAAAAGTGACCATGGTGCGCAATGGATAATTATAACCGAATGAAATAATGTATAAAACTTAAACCAAAGGAGACTTAAATATTGATTAAAAAATCGTGGGTACTTAAAAAAATCAGATTTAATTTAATAAGATAATTATTACCAAAAAAGTGATATTTGTATGGAAAAATTATTGCAGAATCGTATAAGATGAAAAATCGAACAAAATATTTTTTTTTCATTACAGCGCTATCTATTACAAATATGAAAAAATGTTTTAGACAAAATCTACCTATTTTTAGTAGAATGATCCGAATCTGCAAAAAAGGGCGTTCCATTGGAAATTTTAAAGTTACCCCCTGTTCCCCCTATAAGGATGAGAGTATGAGGAGAATTTTAGTATTAATTGATTTCCCCCCTTCGAATCATTTAATTTTTATTTTAAAAATTTTTTCGTAAAATGCATACTAACTGAGATATTTCAATTTACTAGAAAATAATAATTGGGTAATAAGGAATTTAGCCAACTCGGGACTTTTGGTGAAAATTTTAACCTAATTTTTTTTGCCTTTTTAGAAAAAACAATTAAAAAAAATTGATCAAATTCACTTAATTTTTATGTGTAGTAAACATTTAAAAATTTAAAAAAATATTTGAAACTATCAAAACATTTTTGGCCAAGTTATCGCGTTTTTAACCATAGGGGTTGCTGTAAGGTTAAAAATATAAAAATAAATGGCCCCCCTAAAAATAAAAATAGATGTGTACTAGCGTTTAAGGAGCGTTTGAGGAAATTGACTGTAATACCAAAAATTAAATATTTTTTATTACACAGAAATACTGGAAACCTTACAAATATGTTTGTTTAATATACTGTTTAAAAACTAAATCTGTATAAAATCTGGAAAGTTGAACGCTGGGCTTGAAACGGAACAATATAAAGGAAATGTTGCATAAAAAGAAGGAAATCGTATAAATGACCTCTTAAGGATCAAAAGCCACCTTTGAAATAAGTTTAATTAATCGTCGCACAGAGAACGGGTTGTTATTAAGGGGGGCCTACATCTTAGATGGTGATTATGTTGGCACCTCTGGGAGTTTTCCAAGAAGTCCACGCAGGGCTTCACTTCGCTAATTGCCTAGTTTGTTTTCCTTAGTGGTTTTGTAACATGTGTATTTGCGTATATGGAACGTAGGTATATTTATGTTTGTTAACGCGTAAATTTTGTGTTTGTTATTGATTAAGTGTGAGATAAGGTTACCAGGGCACAGAAAAATAATTTAAGGTATAGTTGATCTTAAGACAGCTTAAGTCGAAAAAACCAATTTTTAAACCTACCCCAGTAGCACAAAATATTGGTCCTATATGGGGCGCGTCTATGCCCAATTTTTTATCTGGGGCCAATATTGGATTATTTATTTAGCCGATGTCATCCCTATATTGGCATAAAATGATAATTTAATATATCATTGCCAATGTTTATCCAAGGTTGGTCCTATATTGGCATAATACACTGTAGGTAAATTTCAAACTTTTGAAAAGACACATAAAAACGCCGCTACACGTAAACCTAATTTTTGGGTGTAGAATTCAGTGGTGTAATCAGTTTTTTAAAGTTAGCTCGTTTTCTCAAGATATTAATTATTTAAGTTTTTTGTTTTACCACTTTGCTATATTTTTATTTAACCCGTTTTAAAATGTGTGTATTTATTTTTAATTCATAAATTTTTGTCTCTTAAATTAATAACATTCAAGCCGATAATATTCATATTTTTTTAATTTTATTAGATTTTTCGCATATGTCTTTTTTTGTAATTAAATTTGTTTTAGTAAATTTTATTGTCTGGTATTAGTGGGAAATATTCTAAATTAATAAAATTTGAGAATTTCATTTACTAGTAAATAGACTAAGTACAGCCTGTATAAATGTTGTTTTTAGTTTTTACAATTGAAATAATTCTTTGCTACATAGTTTTGTGGTTAAGTAAGTATAAATATGTAGCTACAAAATTTTGCATGCTCATTTTAATTTTTATGAAAAACAACTTTTAACCGAATCCGATGAAGCCTGTGAACGATTTCATCAAACCATTATGACATTTGAAGATCGGTTTTCTGGCAAAAAATTCGACTCGATGCTTGCTGATTTTTGTTGGTCAATCTTCAAAGAGGCATAAAATTAAACATTTTTTACATTCTTTACAACTTGTTATTTAAGTAGTTTTTTATATTTTTTTAAATATAAATTAATTTTAATATTTTATACTAATAACTGACAAAAAAGTTTATTATTGATAAATAATAATTTTTTAGAAATAAATAAATTTTAATAGATTTTAAAATTGGAATTGGCCAAAAATGTAGATAATAAAGATATTTTAAGAGGGATTATAGTGTCTTAAAATATATATATATATAGCAAAATAACAAATAAAAAAATATTTAAACACAAAATTTCAAATATCTTGAGAAAACGACCTATAATTTTAAAAAACGGATTACACCACTAAATTCCAACACCCAAAAATTAGGTTTACATGTCCCGGCGTTTTTTTGTGTCTTTTTGGCATTTCTCAAAATGTACACAAATAATAAACCAAAAAGTTACAAAAACTTAAATATTAAATATCTTAAGAAAACAAGCTAACTTTAAAAAACTAATTACACCACTGGATTCTACGCCCAATAATTAAGTTTACTTGTACCGGCGATTTTTTGTGTCTTTTTGATGTTACTACTGTGTTATTTTACGCCAATATACCATTAACTATAGTCAACGATGGTTTCGGATTCTAAAAGTGATATGTAACGACACACGTCTGTTTCCAGGATATGTCTTTACTAGTGGCGCAGGAACGGTTTTAAGTTGGGGGGTGGCGCAACCGACTACCATCATTATTGTTTAGCACCAAATGGGTGAAAATAATAAAGGCCATTCTTGCATATTACCGTAAGAATAACAAGGGTAATATGCGATTTCTTGTCTTATTAGCAATAAAATTCGTTATTACGTTAAGAAAGCTCAAGCTGATCATTTTAGCACACGATACAAACGATTTTAGCATTTCATCGTAATTAAGAATAACATAGACGGTACACGACTTGTCTTATTGGTAGATTTTTTCAAAGAATTTGGGGGGTACATTTCATATCAAGTAACCCCCCTCTCCCCCTTATCATTTGGGTGGGCATTGTCACCCCCCCCCCGCTTCTACGACCCTAATTACCTACTATAAACATTTCCTGAAAACAAACGTTTGTTGACACGATCGTTACAAATCACTCTTAGAAATCCTACTACGTAGTAAGAACTAGGTGGCTATCTTTTTTTCTTTCAATTTCTTCCTCAACTTTCCCAGAATATAAGGGCAAATTTTCGTTAAATGTACATTTGCTGTCCCCAGCTAATTTTATTTTTATTTTTGACCTTTGTTGATAAGTTTTGTATTTATTATATTTAAATACCCCCTTCCTGTTAGGACCCATCGTATTTTTTTTTTAATTACTTTATGTTTCTATATATGGCAGAAAAACTAGGTGAAATGTCCTGTAACCTAACTGTCCCCAGAGGCGATTTTTTAATTTAAATTATTATTTTCTTCTTCTTTGCAGCTTTCTTCTAAAAAAATAATTTATTTTTGAACAATGGAAAGTTGTTTTATTCGTATATAAAAATAAAATAGTTTTCTACAAAGTAGTTTAAACAGAAAAAAATATTAAAGTTGACATTCAAAAATCTTGTCTTTTTCCTAACGTCGTCTTCTACGGCGACTGCTTCGAAATAGAGACACGAGATAGAGATACTATCGTGTTATTTCTAGAGGGCATACATTTTTGATAGTTCGGTAACAACAAGTGAGCACGTGTAAAGTGTGTGAATTTTTTTGTAAATATTTTAAAGGTAAGATTTTTTTGCGTACACTTTTGGTTAACTTTTTTATTTTTATTTTGTATTATAGCATAGTAGAAATTCCAAACAAATGCCGAAAGATATTTACGTTTAACAGTCCCAAGCAGCATTTTTGGTTCCAAAAACCATTGCCAAAGTGGTGATAACTTTAAATTAGTTAAGTATACTAAACAGCTACTTTAATTTTTACTTAAAAGTAATTCTAACTTTTGAATAGCAATATTTTGTAACAGAAACTTAATTTTTCCTTAAATTGTTACTATAAAGTAATAAACATTTAAGTAAAACTTGGTTGCCCCCAAGAAGACTTTGCCACTTTAAAAAAGATGTTATAAGTAAAAAAAACTTTCAAGTAAATTTAATTTGTAGCAGTTACTTTCGGTTGCTACCTAAAGATTACATTATAATTATTTTTACTTTGTAGTCCCTTTGCAAGGTAAAATCTCGAAACTGGAACATGAGTTAAAAACTACAAAGTTAATAACTTAAAAGTTATTATTTTAGTATTTGGAACGTTTATGGTACTAACCAAAACAACCGTAAAGTGGAAAAAAACTTTAAAGTAGCGAAAACTACTTCAAAGGAAAATGCTTCTTATCGGCCATTTTTTACTGTACAGTACCACGTGGTAATGTAAATAATAAATTATTTTAATTGTTTGTAAATGGTTGTTTACTTTTTAATAAATAGAAATATTGTTGGTAATAGACGGTATTAATAATTAAATAAAAAAAATAATAATAAATATTAAGATTTTTTTATTTATAAACATTACTAAATAAATAATTTGTTTATACTTAAATATTGATGAAGCGCATTTATTTTACAAAAACTAAATTCATAAGTTCAACAGTAAAATTTAAAGGGTTTATAAATCTACCTGTCTAATTAAACATTATATTGTTATTCTGGAAGTTATAAACTACCAGTACATATTTAATAAACGACGACATTGAAAAGCCAAGTCCGTAGTGTTTCCATTTAAAAAAGGAGGGATAGTATAATCTAATATAAGTTTGACAAAGACAGTTAATATAGAAGTAAAAACAAATAATAAAAGTAATTATAACGCTCTAGCAACGATATTGGAACGTTCTAGTAACGTAGCAGCTACGTCCCAAATAGTAGCAGGGTTGGTAGCTAGTGACATATTTGCTACCTTTTTGGAACTCAATAATTGTTCCCCACTTTAGTCGTAACGTAGTAATGAAAGAGTAATATAAAGAGACCGGCGACTGTCGCAAAACACTTTGAAGTTTCTTCAATAGTCCCATATACGTAACAAATACTTAAATTGTTGCTTGTATATATATTTTGTCCAGGCAGGTCAATTTGATCGATTTTTTTTCCTTTGTGACAGTGTAATTTACTGCAAAAAAATCTATAAGTTTAAAAATAACAAAAATAAACTTTAAAGAAATAAAACTTATATGGTTAATCTGAAATAGGGAAGGAACACAAGGAAGAAATGAAACATTGTCCTTCTCCTAACGCATCTTCCTGAACGTTTTAGGACACATTGCTTTTGACTTTTCCAAACGTTATTTTTTAGAAATACGTATTTCTAAAAAATAACGTTTGGAAAAGTCAAAAGCAATGTGTCATAAAACGTTCAGGAAGATGCGTTAGGAGAAGGACAATGTTTCATTTCTTCCTTGTGTTCCTTCCCTATTTCAGATTAACCATATAAGTTTTATTTCTTTAAAGTTTATTTTTGTTATTTATAAACTTATAGATTTTTTTGCAGTAAATTACACTGTCACAAAGGAAAAAAAATCGATCAAATTGACCTGCCTGGACAAAATATATATACAAAATGTACATTTAACAAAAATTCGCCCATAATGTAAAACAACTTCGGACCAATGCGGATTTCCAATATCGGTTATATAATGTGAAACAACTTCGGGCTAATGTTGGGTTTCAATATTGGACCATGCTAGAAAAAATCTGACGAAAGATATATTGGCCCAATATTATTACGAATATTGGGCCAATATCTTTGTGCTACTGGGGTAGTTTCCAGCATATTTTTACTTACTTGTAAGAGGTTTTTCTTTTTCTTGATGAGGTATGGGTACTATCTACTTGTTGGATTTCCATTATGGAGGTATTTGTTCCAGAGTTTGAATTGGTTTGATAGTTAAGACTAGTTTGACAGGGGTTACTGAAAAAAAACATATGTTAAGCAAAAATGCCTTATCTACAAAAATTTTTGTTTTGCCAAATATTCAGCTAGTAATTCGCTTAAAAAAATGAGTAAGGAGTTCATTTTGACCAAAATTTAACGTAGATAATATTTTTTACTAAAATTTTTTTTTTTAAGTTTTAATTTTTTGATATTTAATTCTTTTGATTTTGCAATTTTCAATACTTAAAATACTAATGTTACTGACGTTTGCAAAATAAATAATTTTAAATATTGGAATTTTCATTTAAAAATTTGTATTTGGACTTTTTTTAGTTTATAAACAACTTTGTTTTATAATTTTTTTGTTAAAAGTAATAAATAATGGTACTTTTCTCCTGAAGCATTTTAATGTTTTCGTAATTTATTAACACCCTGTACATCTGATCTCAAATTATTATATTGTAAAAATTAATTTTCTCAGCAAGCAGAATTTTTTATAAAGAATGACTTTTTGTTGTACTTAGTATGATTAATAAAGATATTTTTCCTATTGTGTTCTCCATCCGCAGACACACTGTATATTCGACAACTTTTGGCTTAAACTTTTTTCTAAACTATCAGAATTTTTTAGAATTTCTTTAACCAACCGAAAAAATGGTTCTTTATTTTCAAATTTTTGTTTTTAAATGTACTTTTCAAAAAAATACAGCAAAAACGATCTTCAAAGTTTTTTTTTAATTTTCGGAAAAAACAAAAACTTTCTCGATGATTCTCATTTTTAATTTTTTTTATTAAAAACTTTTTCTGCAAATTCTCCATAATTTTTAGTGGCAGTTTTTCGTTTTCTATTCTTTTTTTTAATTGAAAAAAAACTCAACCACCATTCTGGGGATTTAAAAAAAAAATTAAATTGAAAGTGGCAATCATCAAAAAAGTAAAAAAGAAATAGAAAATACTTCTAAACAAATTTTTACACATATATTTTTTAAACCACATTTAAAAATAAAGAAAATGAAAAATATTAATCCTACATTGATGAGCTGTAACTTTATGGCATTTTAGTCAGGGGCTGAAGTTAGAAACAATGGTTTTCAAGCTTTTTATTCACGGGCTAAAGTATTATAAGTGTTATATTATTATAAATTGGGAAAAAGTGAGGTTAAATTCGGGTGGCAGATGTCAGATGTCAAACTTTTAAGAAAAAAAAATCAGTGGGAAGATCAAGTTTAAATGCACAAAATCTTCATAGTATATTAAAGATCTAATGTCATAATACGTCATTTTGTCGCACGCGGACAATTTATAAAACGAAGGAGCGAGTTTTGTAATGGACGAGTGCGACAAAAGGTCTTATGACATGAGTTCTTTATGCTATTTTATCTATTTTGCAAAAATTCTATAAAAAAAATAATTTTAAACCTTAAATTTAATTTGGTCGAATTTTACTTTATAAAGTTGGTATCACAGTCATTGGTTTGACAGTTAATGTCAAAATCGATTCGCCATGCCGTCCTTAATTTACTTATTTACAATAAGCGGCTGTTAATGTTAAGAAGAAAAAAAGGATTTTCTTTGGTGTCAAACTAAATTTAGTACTAGAAGTTTAAAGAGCCATTTTTTTGATAAATTGATAATTTTTTTTCGGAGGTAAAAAAAATTAAAAAAAATTTCGAAAAATGTTTTTATATTGTGATGTTCTTTTAGATTTTAAAATTTCTGTTATGTTTTTTTCTAAAAAATATAATAAACATTAAAAGGAATAAATTGAGTACAACTTTTTTTTTAAATATAAAACAATTTTTTTAAAGAATTTGCGGAAATTGTCAGTTTCTAATAAAAAAAATAAAAATAAATTCATAAAAATCACAATCATCGAAAAATTTTTGATTTTTCCGAAAATAAAAAAAATGTCCAAACTCGGTCTGAATATTTTTTTTCTATTTTTTAAGTGTTTAAGTATATAAAAAAAAATTTGAAAACAAAAATGTTCCGATAAGTCAATTTTTGAAAAAGTCAGTTTTTTTCGATTAGGCACAAAAATTTGAAAAAATTCCGTTTTTTTTTGATATTGTGATAAAAGATAAAAACGTTTTAGCCAAATCGGAGGGGTCGGGTTTAAAGTGGTCGATTTGGCACATCTGACTATATACAGGGTGTTTCACATTCGTGGTCCATTAGAAGTTTCTGTAAAACGGAAAAAGATCGATTTTTAGTCGATCGATAGTCTATTTTTATGAAATATTTTAAACAAAATACCACTTTCGGTTTAACCGGAAGTGGTATAAACTTTGTTATTACAAATAGAACACCCCATATATATTTACATTTTTAAATTCCACCCCTAATAACAAAAGTTATAGGCTATTTTTGATTGACGCGCATTTAGTAAATTTTAACAACAAAAAATTAATGTATATAGAGGTAGGGTAAAGTAGACAGTTACCTTAAAGTCAAATCATTAGATGACGCTGTATACAATTATAATATCTCAGTCTGTAATAATATAAGTTATAAAGTTATAAGGTTAGTTTTGTTTTTTTTGTTAAGAGCAGGGTTGTGTTTAAATTACAAAAAAAATATTTCTAAAAAGTGTACAGATCAGTGTGTGGTATAAATGTGTTCCTCCTGGTTTAAACATTGTCAATTTAATGCGTTTTAATTTTAATTCTGAAAACAAACAGTAAAATAGCCAGGGTCCAATTACTGGTTGGTAAATTTCTATTATTGGATATATGTCCAATATCATACTCAATTTGTATCCTGGACATTTACCAGCCAATTCTTATGTAAAATTGTCCGCTGAATCCGAAAAGACCGTCAAAAACTATAAAACTTAAGCAGTTTTTGAGATATAGTTAATTCCATATTATATGTAAAATTGATTATATTTCAAAAACTGTTCTACTTTTATAACTTTTGGCGACATTTTCGGATTCAGCGTATAATATTTCATATGAATTGACTGCTAATGTCCTGGATTTAAATATAGTGCATGATAAAGAAACTAATGGCAACAAAATTAATAAATTCGGAAAATACTTTTAACAAACCACCCGAAAAAATATTAGATAAATCATCCTGTTCCGGCCTAAACATTATAAATGCTTCACAAACTAGAGATACCACACTTAATGATATTTGCAACAAACTATTTCAGAAGTCAGACCAAGGAATTAGTAGTTACCTTCAGAATCCAGAAAAGGCATGAGGAATCCGAGAAAGAAATAAACTGCTGGTCATAAAAATCGACGCACCTACTTTTTTGGAAAATATTTGAAAGCTCGATATTGGAAAATTACTGAATCGATTTTGAAAATCTTTGCAAATTCTAAATAGCTGATTCTTTGACTCTTATGTCTAATATTGGGAATACGATATTTTGCACATAGCATTATACTACAGGGTGTTAAACGAAGAGATGTATTTTTTCCGAAATTTCAAGTTGTTCCCATTCATGAGGCAGTTGAGTTTGATAGTCGTAATACCCCTCCCTAATATTAGTAACGTTTTCGAGATTTTGTGAATATCGCGGCTTACTACGATTATATGCCAATTTATCGAAAATGTGGTTATTTCCTAGTTTAGTCCAAAAAATGAGCAATAATGTATTCTTTGAATTACGTCTAATTTTGAGAATACGATATTGTGCACATAGCATTATACTACAGGGTGTTAAAAAAATAGATGTTTTTTTCCAAAAATCCAAATCCCCATTCACAGGGCAGTTGAGCTTGATAGTCCTAATACCCCTTCCTAATAACAGTAGGCTAACTACAATTATATACCAATTTTTCGAAAATTGTCGTTATCCCCCAGTTGTCCAAAAAATAAGCAATAGTAGATTCTTTTACTTACGTCTAATTTTGGGAATACGATATTGTGCACATAGCATTATACTACAGGGAGATGTTTTTTCCAAAATTCCAATTCACCATTCACAAGGCAGTTGAGCTTGATAGTCATAATACCCCTTCCTAATAACAGGTAATCCCTCGGGACATTTTCGAGATTTTGTGGATAACTCGAAAATTCAAAATAAAAACGCAAACCATACAAAATTATTCTCATAAACTTATGCAGGCTATATTCATACAATTTTCTACAACTATGAAAGTTTAAAAAATATGGCGCATATCTGGTTTTGAGTTTCCTTCCTTCAATTATTCTTGTCATTTTTGTCGTCAAATATGAAAACATTTTTCAAACAGCAAATCACATTTAAAAAATAAAATGACGGATGTAAGATTGCATACCACGCAAGACGAAGAACTGCCTGCCCTCTTTTTCTGCTAGAAGAAGATGGGCACAAGAACATGCAACTAATTAGTTGATTAGTAGATTAATCGATACCTTTCATAGTTTGCTCATTTTTGGGAATTAGGTTGGAGAATAACGACAATTTTCGAAAAATTGCTATATAATCGTAGTTAGCCAAGATATCCACAAAATCTCGAAAACGTCCCGAGGGATTACTTAACTGTTATTAGGGAGGGGTATTAGGACTATCAAGCTCAACTGCCCTGTGAATGGGGATTTGGAATTTAAAAAAAAACATCTCTTTTTTTAACACCCTGTAGTATCATGCTATGTGCACAATATCGTATTTCCAAAATTAGACATAAGAGTCAAAGAATCAACTATTGCTTATTTTTAGGACTAAAATGAAGAATAACGTGAATTTTCGAAAAATTGCAATATAATCGTAGTTGGCCAAGATATCCACAAAATCTCGAAAACGTCCCGAGGGATAACCTAACTGTTATTAGGAAGGGGTATTACGACTATCAAGCTCAACTGCCCTGTGAATTGGGATTTAAAATTTTGGAAAAAAATATCTCTTTTTTTAACACCCTGTAGTATAATGCTATGTGTACAATATCGTATTCTCAAAATTAGACGTAAGTCAAAGAATCCACTATTGCTCATTTTTTGGACTAAAATAACGACAATTTTCGATAAATTGGCATATAATCGTAGTAAGCCGCGATATTCACAAAATCTCGAAAATGTTCCAAAGGATTACCTTACTTATATTAGGGAGGGGTATTACGACTATCAAACTCAACTGCCTCAAGAACGGGAATAACTTGAAATTTCGGAAAAATACATCTCTTCGTTTAACACCCTGTAGTATAATTCTATGTGCAAAATATCGTATTTCCAAAATTAGACATAAGAGTCAAAGAATCAGGTATTCAGAATTTCCAAAGATTTTCAAAATTGATTCAGTAATTTTGCAATAACGAGCTTTCAAATATTTTCCAAAAAACTAGGTGCGTCGATTTTTATGACGAGCAGTTCATATAAATTTTATGATAATTACAAAAACGAAATAAAAAAAATATTAACAATTTTTTTTATTTGTATTATTAAAAATTCAAATATTCTAAGGTAGGTATTTCTGTGACATTTCGTAAAACTCATTCCCACAAAATTCTCGTTTTCATTAAAAGACAAAATTTCTAGGAACCTAATTTAATTTATATATTTACTTACTAGGGTGTTTCAAAAAAAGCTATTTTTTGTTTTTTTTCTCGGAACCACGCTCAAAAGTTTCGTATAGATATAAAAATGAGCCTGTGAAAAAATGAGCTCTTAATTTCAAAATTAGAATGCTCCGCATCGCACTTTTCGATTTTCCATAAGAATAACATAGAAAAAATTATTTTTGTTTCTTTTTATTTTTGTAACTAACGAACAATACGTCGTACTGTAAAGTTCTTGACATATTTTTGTAGAGAATTGAACGTTCTACAAAAAAGGTTTCCTATGATTTTTTGATAAATTTGATCCTTCTAAAGAAATTTAAGGTCAAAGTTCAAATTATACGAAATTTTTGTGTTTTTTAACTACCCGACTCATTTAAAAAATTTTGAAATATTTTTGTAGAGAATTGAACGCTCTACAAAAAAGGTCTAGAGTCATTTTTCGGTAAGTTAACTTGGTTAAAAGTTATTCAAGGTTAAAGTGAAATTAACCGTCAATTTAGTCGTTTTCTAGAATTTTTTCTGGATTTTTTAGTTCAAAGGGCTAAAAACGAATCGAAATATTGTTTTTGAGCTCTGGAATTTCGGAAAAACAGCGTTCAATTCTCTACAAAAATTTTCAAAATTTTTTAAATGAGTCTGACACTCGCCAAAAAAGTTAAAAAAAACCCAAAAATTTTGTATAATTTGAACTTTGACCTTAAATTTCTTTAGAAGGATCAAATTTATCAAAAAATCATAAGAAACCTTTTTTGCAGAGCGTTCAATTCTCTACAACAATATGTCAAGAACTTTACAGTACGACCTATTGTTCGTTAGTTACAAAAATAAAAAGAAACAAAAATAATTTTTCCTATTTTATTCTTATGGAAAATCGAAAAGTGCGATGCAGAGCATCTTAATTTTGAAATTAAGAGCTCATTTTTTCTCAGGCTCATTTTTATATCTATACGAAACTTTTAAGCGTGGTTCCGAGAAAAAAAACAAAAAAAAGGTTTTTTTGAAACACCCTATTACTTACTCGACCATTCCTGTGAGCTCATAGTAGGTGGGCTGATAATGCTGCGGCTGAATGTTTTGCTGCCCCATGACCGGCTTCAGCTCCTCTATCGTGATGAACTCCCTGTCGTCGTCGGGCACCTGCAGGAGTCGCGAATACGAAATGTCCTGCACGGAAAAGTTCCTAGCCACCATCCTAGACCGCGCGCCAACCGCACTATACCGCTTGCTGGTCCAGTAATACTCGTAACAACACCGCTATACTTACGCGTGGAGCGGCTTTAAACTTGAACTTGCCAGTGAGTGTTGCGAGTGTCGCGGGTTGTTGTCATTTGCGTTTTGAAACGGATCATACGAGCGCTGATTGGATTATGGCGATAGAAAGTCAAATACAGCTAAGCGCGATTGAAAGGGCGCGTTTATAACGGAACGCGTTTCGTTTTGACTGAACCCGCATGCTCAGAGGGAGTTTGAATTTTTTTAGCGTGGAAAATGTTTGCCCGAGTACCACAACTGTAGTTTTACCATGGTTAAATATGTAAATAGCATTCTAAGTAAATTAACCCAAATCTAAGTAAAATTACGTTTTTTTAAACATGTTTTTAAACAATTACACGGAGAGAAAAGTATAATGCTGATTACCATAATTATAATACCCTTTACTATAATTTATATTACTATTTGGGACAACTATCTTGTATACTATGCATATTTAGTAATTTTTAAATATCCATGTATGTTAAACCTTAAGGTATTATATTATTATTCTCAACCAATTTTGTTTTTAATTCTTATTATAATTAGATTTTTTCCATTACTAATAAGTATAGTATATTTTAAAATATTATGTTGCCATTTTAAATATAAAATATTTTAAAACCGAATATTTTTATGTTAACAATTAAAAATTTTAACATATTTATTGTACTTTTTAATATAAAAAAATGTTATGAGAAAGAATTGAACCTACACCTCCACAAAGTTTTTTGTTTTGAGTGCGTTACATCAACTTCAAATACAGACAGGTGTTTTGACCTATATTGGGTATTATCAGTGTCGACACGACACTGTCGAGCAACTTGTAGTAGTGGAACACACCCAAAACAAAGAAATACCTGAGCTTATATAACAGGGTTGGTAAGCCAACAGAGGCGAGATGTAAGAACATCACGTGATCCACACCGTCTAACGACGCGTCGCGACGTGGCCTTTGCCGCAATCGGTACATACTATGCAACCATTGGTTGCCAACCAAGTAGGTTCAATTCTTTCTTATAAGTATTACCAGTAATGGGCCAAGAAAGTTTATTGAAGAAACTAAAAAAATTGAATGATTAAAATGTCATGAGTTACTATATTGTATATTATATTTAAATATATTGTTTATTTACCTTAAACATAAAAGCATTGAGTAACATCTTACTCAATGATTAAAGTATCTTTATTTTTACTATATTTTTTATTAATGTGTAATATATTATAATATTAGATGTACACCTTACATTTGATTAAATCATATAGTAAATATTTGTAGATAGTTAAATCAATTTACTATACGAACATATTAAAAATTAAAATATATATTTTACATTTATGATTTAGTAATATTGGTGTTGTAATCTTTACTAAAATTGTATAATAAAAAATAGTATTTTGTATAACAATCTTAATATTGTATTGACGAATATATAATATTGTTACCCTAAAAATTTGTTAAAGTAAATTTTACTATATTTTTTTACTATCTAAAATTTACTATATATTTATCTCTGTGTAGTTGTATTCAACCATTAACATTTTTTAAGATGAAGCCGGCGAAAAAAACGTTGGGAAATTTTCAGAAAAATTGAAGGGTAACACGAAAAAAATTAAAGTCAATTTTTCTTAAAATTTACAAATATCTGTACACCGATATCAAGAAAAAAGTGAATTTTCGACTATGATTATAATCATATGATTACACAGTTTAACACGATTTCCCTCTCATAAATTTTTTTAACATATTTTGAAAACAGAGGTTAAAAAAAACGTAATCGTGTCTGTTTCACGAAATCACGTCATATAAATTTTGTACACAGCCATTCATATTATTTTAACATATAGGTCAGGGTGGATATAGGTAATATAGGTAATAGTTATTTATGTCATTAGGTTAAGAAGTAAGGCTTTTTGTGCTAGGGTCAAGATTTGAGGGCCGACGCGTAGCGAACGCCTACAATTGAGCGAAGCACAAAAAGGCACTTCTTGGCCGAATGGCATACAACATTTTATCTTTAAAGCACTTTATATAGGTCAATTTAATTCAACATCAAAGCGGCCTAACCTCACTTTTTAGAATCTCATTTATTTATTAGCTAAAGATTACATTAAATGTACAATAATTATTATTGCTTTTAGAAGCAGTAATAGTTTGACAATACCTAGCAACATGATTTAAGTAGAAATGGATTTTTGCTATTGCATTGAATTCAATTAATTGTTTAATAAATAGGTAGGTATCTAATTTCAATTTGTTTGGATTTTTATTTAAAAAATAGGTAGTTTGAAATGTTTAAGCTGTGTTTAACATTTAATTTCACTGAAAACATAAAGATAATTTAAATCGTAGAAAAATAATCGTGCGTTTTCTTGGTTGCCTAACCTCACTTTTTGTTTTATTATTTATATTCAATTTTACAATAATTTTATGAAAAATAATAAACATTAACAGTAAAACAAACAAATTAGTGCTTATTATAAATAAATTAAACCACTTTAGTACGTTAATTTCTTAGAAAAGAATTAATTTGTCAAAACAATACCCCTAGCGAGAAAAAATCGAACTAATTACTTGCCTCATAAAATTTTTTATCGGCCTAGGCCATAACAAGGTATTTCTTTATCGAATGTTTATTGTTGTCAACAGTTTAAATTATAGACCGCGTGGAGATAAAGAAATTTAATTCTTTATTTATAAATCATTTGTTTCTTCTTCTAATATTGTATGTTTTTTCATAATACAAAAATTATAAACAATAATTTTAATTTTTTTTAAATTAAAAAATTATATTTTAAATTTTGATTTTTTTTAATAAAACAACAGATTTGTATTTATCTTATATTCAATATACCTATGCAATGCATATTATGCATATATTTTTTTAACATGTTGGAAAAAAATATTCGTCTTTTAGTTTGAAGATTATATATAGCAATGTATACATTGCTTTAGAATCTTTAGTGGTATCACGACCTAAAAACACCACTTGATATATTTCGTAAATGTGCAACACCCTGTATAAAATTAAAATAATGTTGTGGTTGTCCATTTATTCTGTTAATATAATTTTTAAAAACTATACTGTCTAGCTTTTATAGAAACTGTTATATTTATTAGGTGCCGAATTACGTGGATAAAATTTTATTGGATCGCACAAAAAAAAATGACGTGATCTGAAAAAACGCCGAGACACGGGTAGGTATCATTTTTTTATGTCTATTTTCCAAATCTATAGAAATTTTTCAGTGGAGAGAAAAAAACAAATTTTGTCGTACTGTGTTATAATTTAGTAAGAATCTTCTACCGGGTCGCAAAAACTTTCTGTAATGTATTAATTTTTTTAATTAAAATAATGTTGCTGATGGCTTTGGATATTTTCAGAAAAAAATCAATTTTTTCCAAAAAATCCAAAGCCTGAAAAAAAAACGGAAAAAAACAGGTTTTGACCCCCAATTTTTCCGGTTTTTTTTCGACATTTTAAAACCCTACTATAAACTAAAAAATAACCCTTTAAATTTAACAACCGGTTGCTATAACCTTAAGGTAAATTCAAACGATATTTTTTAGGATAATTTAACTAATAGAAGAAACCCATTGGTAAGTTAGTAATATTACTTATAAGTTAAAAAGTAAGTTATTTTAGAAGTTACATAACGTTATATTAACTGATAATTTTAACCTCTGAAAATTGTTAAGACTAGTTATTTTTTTAGACATATTTTGGTTTAGTTTTTTAATATTTTTTTGGAAATTAACCACAGCTTTGGTTAATTTGGATATATTTTTTTAACCAACAAGTCATGTTTTACCAAATATACGCTGGTAAGTTAACGTTAATTAATAAACTGGTTAAAAAAGTGATGGTTTTGTAGTGTTCATTGTTACCTGCATAGAAAAATTAGTCTCAATACAGCTTTATATATAAACCTATAGGTTATGAGTTTTCTGTGATTATGGAGCCTAAAAGAAATAATTTTAAAAAATAAAGACTTTCTTCAACTTACTATAGAAGAGTTGTATCTAAATCATTATTTATTTACAAATCCTAAAACAGTCCCATCATATTTAATTAGTTTGGCAAGCATCTATAGTATAGGTTTTATCAAATAATTATATTATAAAAATAACGTTCATTTTACCCTAATTGAATTCCCCACTAATTACAAAATAACATTAGTTTAATATTAATTTAACGTTATAGTACAATATTAGGTACTTAAAGAATTAAAGTACAAATAAAAAGTATAAAATAACATTTAAATACAAAATAAAGTCGGTGTGACTAAATATTGCTTAATAATAATACATTAATGTAAAAATGCACAATATTATTAATTAAAAATACAAAAAATTGGAAAAATGTCAAAATATTTATAAACTGCGGTTAAAAACTTTATTTAACAAATTAGCATATTTATGAAAATATGTATAAATAATATGGGGCAAAATTTACCAAGTGTACCAGGTGAAAAAATTTTTGTCACCGATTTTGTTTAAACTTTACTTATTTGTTGTTCTTATAACGAAGAATCATAGCATACATTTTTTTTGCTCTAGGATTGTTCATTCAAGAGTTATTGATTATTGAAATTTATCGATTTTTTACTTTTTGGTGAAATCGCTTTTTATTTAAAAATTCATAACTTCTGTTCATCTCTTTATTAAATATTTCAATTTAACCTCCTTAAATGATTTTTTCTGTACTTTTCAATGGGCTATACCGTTTTTGCAAAAAAATAAAAATTGCAATTTTTTTTTCAAATTTTGCAAAATTTTGCATTTTTTAAAACAATGTGTATTTTTTAATTTTTTTTAAAATAGCATAAAATCCAAGTTTATTATGTTACCTTTGAATAAAAAAAAAATTTAGAGTGGGCCCGACATGTAGAAGGAAAGTTTTTCATATTTGAATGCCGTACGGTCTAGCCATCGAATAGCTACTACCCTGCCGTATGCGTTTATACCTAGTGGATGCGAGTAAACGAATACAAAATGATAATTTAAAATGTAAAATCATGTTTGAGTAGTCAATGATGTATTTTAAATATTTACACTGCTGCACGATATAGTTTTTTAACTGTATTTTTTTGCACAAATTGTCTACATAGATTTCGCAAGGAGGATCGATGATATTAAATAAAAAATTTATTGTTATAACCGTAACGGCTTGC